GCAAGCTAAAATACTGACGGAGGAAGGAAGAAAGCCACAAGTAGAACACAATCCCTACGCGCACTTCTCGTCAACTTTAACGCAGGTCGCCACTGCCCTTCCTGGAGGTTACAACACGCAACATTCTTCTACATGTGTATAAGGTCGCAACGCATCTCACTTGAAAACGCCAGTTTACAGACATCACACATTTGGAGAGATATTTGAGCTTGGGAATTAACATCCATTATATCTTTACTCAACGTCATGCTTCGAATGCAAAACGGAAACAGAAAGCCGACGCCAAAGTCCCTTTCTTACCATCCCGAATAAGTATCTATCAAAAGATCACATTCCACATAATCATTCGTCACATCGCCACGCCGATTTTTACACCTTCTCTTTAGACAGCCGCAACTCTTCTAACACTCCTCCTCGCACCCTCACCGCTGACCATGATCAGACCCTCCATCTCCAGCGTACGCATCGTCTCGTTGAAGTCGGCCTGCTCGACGGGCATGCTGGCACCCTCGCTGAGCTTCCTGGCAACCTCAGCCCACTTGACAGACTGGCCGCCGCTGGTGAGCTCGTCGAGGAGGTGAAGAACAGCCTCCTTGATCTCCTCCTTCCTGCGGCGGTCCGCAGAACTCGTACCCTCGGTCAGTAGGCTCATGTCGATGCGACCTTGAGAATCGGTAGCAGCGGTCTTGAGGGCGGAGCGAATGAGGCGGGCAGCCTCCTGAACATCCTCGCGGGTGACAGTCTCGGAGAGACGCATCTTGGCGTGCGCCTCGGAGAGACGAATCATGGACTCGAGCTGTCTAGTGGTGGCGGTGATACGCTTCTCAGCGGCGCGCACATCTTGACCAAGCTTGCGCATCTCCAGGTACTGGTCAACCAGCTCCTGAGCGGCGTCTTGCGCGATGGTGGGGTTGATGGTGGAGCGGGCGTAGAAGATGTATGAGGTAAGGAATTCGACAGGCTATGAGAGAGTTAGTTTGATTCTGATGTATGGATCATCTGTGGACTTACGAGAATGTCGTCCTTGGTGGCAGCGGACTCAGGCTTGTCCTCCAAGTACAGGGAGAGAAGATGGCGAGCGAGGCGAGCATCGCTCTTCTCGTCGACACGGTCCAGGATGAGGTAGACCAAGTCGAAACGAGAGAGCAACGTGGGAGGGAGGTCGATGTTCTGGGGCACGGGGAGGTCAGGGTTGTAGCGACTGCCGATAGGGTTGGCAGAAGCCAGGATACTGGTTCTGGCGTTCAGGGTCGTGATGATACCAGCCTTGGCAACAGACACCGTCTGCTGTTCCATGACTTCGTGGAGGACCGAGCGGGTGGCCTCTGACATCTTGTCGAACTCATCAATACAGCAGACACCGCCGTCTGAGAGAACCAGAGCACCAGACTCGAGGACAAGCTGGCGACTTTCAGGGTCGCGAGTGACATACGCAGTCAAACCGACGGCAGAGGAACCCTTTCCGCTGGTGTAGATACCTCTGGGGGCAATCTTGTGCACGTAGGAAAGGATCTGAGACTTTGAAGTAGAAGGGTCACCGCAGAGAAGCACATTGATGTCTCCTCTATACCTGGGGCTTCCACCTTTTTGGAAAGTCTTGTTGGTGCCGCCGAAGAGCTGCAGAAGGATTCCCTTCTTGACGTCGTCCATCTCGTAAATCGAGGGGGCGAGCGAGCGAGCAAGGAGCTCGTAAATGTCTGGTCGTGCAGCAGTCTCCTTGATCTTCTCCACCTCCTCTGGAGTAATCTTGCGATTCTCCTGGAGGTTAGGGTCGTTCGTCTCACCCTCCTCACCCTCGACACCCAGCGTTGAGGCGTCAAGACCCATTCTCTTCTTATCGACCTTCTGAATGTGGACAACGTCGACGAATGTTCTGTACACACTCTTGATGGTTCTTTGGCGGGGGTTCACACGCACAGGGTTGACTCGGAAGACACCAGTGATCTCAACGCGGTCACCTGCCTTGCAGAAGTCTACAAGCTCGTTGTAGGCGCAAATTGAGACAGAGTGAGGAGTCTGACCGGCAGGAACAGCATCGGGAGTCTCTTGCAGCTTGATGACCTGCTTGTCCTCAAAGGAGCATCTGTTATGGATGATCTGCATGGAGTTCTTGGAGGCGCAGCGAGTTCGCGGGCACTCGGTAGGCTCGCGAATCTTGCCTCTGTCAATGCTAACGTTGACAGAGTGGTTGCAGACGTTGCAACGGAAGAAAGCATCCTTCATATCGGGGATGATAGGGGTGGTTCGGATCACAAGACCCTTGATGGTGATGAGCCGGTCCATATCAGAGGGGTTCAGGTCTCGAAGGTTGGTGATCTTCTCAAGGCCGTAGGGGCGGACCATGTAGATCATCTGAGAGACTTGGTCCTCTTTGGAGGTGATGTCAGTGGCTGGTCTGGGAGTGGGAGCATCTGTGGGAGTGGGAGCATCTGAGGGTGTTTCGGGGTGGTCGGAGCTGGGGAAGACAGGCTCTGAGCTGGGCGCTGTGTTGCTTCGCCTCGCAGCATCACCGGCGCTGCTCTGAGAGTTACGCTCCCTCAAGTCCTCGGCTCTGGCCAGCTCAACCATCATATCGTGGATAGACTGATCCATAATCGGAATGATTTCTTGCGGGTAAGCCTGGAGATGGTAGTACAGCTTGCGAGTAGGCGGGTAGGTGTTGAGATCCTGCATGTTGAGGAACAGCCTGGTGCCACCCAAGAGAAGCATGTTCTCAAGAGCCTCCCAGTAGACCTTGCCCTCGGCATCGGGAGCTTCCCGAACCTCAGCTTCGGACAGTCCTTCCCGGTACATCTGATACTTTCGGGTGAAATTCCTCAGGAAGTCCTTGAAGGTCACAAAGGTATCGTCGATCGAGACGCTGGTACCCCAAATGGTGCTGTCGGCCGCTCCACCGAGACGGTCCGCCTCCGATGTATTGGGGTCGGGGTTGCTGAAAGAAGGCGCATCGGAACCGGGGGCGTTGGTCACCACTCTGCCAGCTGGGTCCAGCACAAGGCGCCGGCGCGGAGTTCTGAAACCCTCGGAGTGAATGTCACCTCTCCGTGAGCGGGCACGGTCAGAGACGAAAAGACCACTGCTCTCACTTCGGAAGTCTGACTGTGGCGGCCTCACCGAGCCACGGCCTGGGCTGGAACTGGGATCGTATCGGATGGGGGACGATTCTACAGTCGTGTCAGTCCTCAGTCTTCAGTATACATGCCTAATCCTCCTTACCTCTAGCCATTCCACTCGCACGCGGGGTTCTGTCACCATCGCCGGTTGACTGGGTGTCAATGTCTTGACGCAGCGGTGAGCTGGGGGCTGGGCCAACGTTGGTGTTCTGGCTGCTGCTGACGCCCCTCAAAGGGGACGAAACATCGCCATTGGCAGGTGCATTGCGACTGCTGCCCTGCGCAGGCGAGGACTCGTAGAACAGAGGGCTCGATGCAAGCTGAGAGCGGCGGGTTGTGCGGCTGGGCGTCTGCGCAGCGGGCTCCTGTGCAGGCGCGGGGCTGCTACGGTCTGCATCCGGATTGTTTCTCGTGGACCGACGGGGAGTGGTACCGGCCGTCGAGCTTCTCGTCGACCTTTTTGTTGGCGACGACATTGTTTTGAGGTGTTTGTTGACTTTACGTCGATATGTCGTTGAGGGATTGTTCGAAGGTGGGATGGGGGGAATTGGCGGGATGCAAATGCGACAAGAAAGAATATGCGTGTTGCTGGGGAGAGGGGAGATGTGGAGAGCGCTCAGGAGCAGTTGAAAGTGGGCTGGCTGCAATTTTGGAAAGCACTTTACGCGCTCCCCCGGTTCTTGACGCGATCGAAAAGGAGTTTTGCGTTTTCCACTTTACGCGTGGTGGGAAAGGGCATGACAGACGTGGCCCGTGCGCCTATCGTAGCTGCCAGGGTGGCCCTCAGAGCAATGGCGCAGCGCAGCGCAGCGCCGGGCCCCTGCTGTCCGGCCGTCGGCGAAACCACCCACCGACTTGTACGTGGTCAATTGCATCCCGCCAGAGCTCCCTACAAGGCATCGTGGACTTGAGGCTCAAGATACTGCAAGCTAATCAACAAAGCGCATTCCGGCGCAACGCACATAAAATCCGTCAAGATGGCTCCTGGAATGTCCCTTTTCTCCGTCAATGCGATCCTCATCCTCAGCACAGAGGACGGATCGCGGTTATTCTCCAAGTACTACACCGCACCCCACCACGGCCCTTCGGCGACACAGAAGGACGGTATGCGCTCGTAGCTCCCAATGCCAGCTCCGAGCTCGTGACTGACGGATAGTGTCGACTGCAGGCCACGCCGGCTCCGCGAGCAATCCCTACGGCGATGTCAAGTCCCAAAAGGCCTTTGAGAAGGGCCTCCTCGACAAGACGGCGAAGCAGACCGGCGACATCATCCTCTATGACAACCGAATTGTTCTCTACAAGATGGAGTCAGACGTCATGATGTACGTCGTTGGAGGTGTCGATGAGAACGAGGTGCTGCTGTATAACGTCATTCTGGCCCTGAGAGACTCGCTTCATCTGCTGTTTAAGTAAGTTGCAGCTTCAAAAGCCAGGCGCTGGGCGTTGCTAACCCCTTCTCAGGCAATCTGTCGATAAGCGCACAATCGTCGAGAACTACGACCTTGTCTCCCTCGCCATTGACGAGATCGTCGACGACGGCATCATCCTCGAGACCGACCCTACCATCATCGTGCAAAGAGTCAGCAAGGCGCCGGCGCAAGACGTGGATCTCCGCCGCATCGACCTCAGCGAACAGGGTGTCAACAACCTCGCCCAGCTGGGCAAGTCGAAACTGGCGGACTGGCTGCGACAAGGGTTGTAAGAGGGCGGTGCACGAGCGAGATAGGAGGTGGATTGGCAGCGCAGAGAAGATGGGTTGCTGCACATGGGAGTTTTATGGTGGCCTAGAAAGGGAACGCATCATTAAAAGTATAATCCCTCTGAGGGATGTCATGACGAATGCTGAGATTTATGCCTAATTCTTCTATTTGCTTTTCCCAACCGCGTCTATGTCCGAATCTCGGACGCTGCTTTGCGAAGCCTGTTCATCACCGCCTCTGCAATGTCGTTCCTGTCGTCGATACCGTCTACGAAGATGACGCTAGCGCCCCTTCTATCCAAATCTCTCAGCGCCGAGAACAAGCCCTGCGCAATTCCTCTCGTGTCGTCTCCCAAGTCGATATCAAGCACCGACGCCATGGGCTTGTCCTCGGCATCCTGAAGCTCGCCCTCTTGGACCTCGTACGTCGTCTCATCCCTGGCGTTCGCCTCCGCAGCCCCGTCAACATGGACCTTGGAAACTTGCAGCGCACCGTGATGCAGACCACCTGCAATCTTCCACCTCCTCGTGCGGATGATTCCTATCCTGGCGGAAGTCGGTCCGTCTCCGTTCGTCAACGCATCCGCGTTCTGCTGAATGAGCGCCTTCTGCAAGTCCTCGGCAACGATGCCCTCAGCACCTGCCGGGCAAGCATGCTCATACAGCACAACCTTCGCCTTGGGGCTGTAGTGCTTGTACTTCATACCAGGCGCCCTTGGTGCAGACTTCCCTGTCTCGCTCTCGTCCTTGTACGCCTTGACGACGCCCTCCCAGCCTGGACAGCTTCGCAACTCTTCCATGCTCACGCCTCCTGGCCTCAGAACGACTGGAGGGTTGCACAGACCGTCAACAACCGTACTCTCCACGCCGACCTGGCACGCCCCGCCGTCTAAGATGAGTTCGATGCGGCCCTCCAGATCGTGATAAACATGCTGCGCTGTCGTGGGCGAGGGCTTAGTCGACGCATTCGCCGAAGGAGCAGCCAGCGGTACACCGGCCAACTTAATGAGTGTCAACGCCAACGGCGACGACGGCATCCTGACACCAAAACTCGTCAAGCCTGCCGTGACCTCGGGCGCAAGTTTGCTTGGCGTCGGGTTCTTGAGGAGAATCGTAAGAGGGCCAGGCCAGAACTTTTCAATGAGAGGCTTGTATATCTCTGGAATTGGGTCCTTTTGAGCATGGCCGTTTGTCTGGTTCTCATCGGATCGCAACAGCTCCCTCAACATATCAAGATCGCTGACATGAGAAATGAGCGGGTTGTCCGAGGGCCGGCCCTTGGCTGAGTAGATGCCCTTGACGGCGTCGCTCCTTGTCGCATCGGCACCCAAGCCATAAACAGTCTCGGTCGGGAAAGCCACTGGTGTCGCCTTGGTGCGCATATACTCTGCTGCGTCGCGGAGGGCGGCTATCGAGGCGCCTGAGGCGGAGGGGCTGACTTCCCATGTGCTCAATCTCTCGGGTCCAGCGTTGTTGGTGAAGTTGCCGAGCCCTTGGGCGTCGATCTTGACGATGCGGGTCTCCATCGTGAAAGCTTGTGCTGTAAGGTATTTGATATGTATGCGGATAAAAGGTGAGAGATATGCCGCGAGCTGGCGACTTACACGATAAGTGAGAGCCAATGTGAAGAACCTTGGAGGGGTAAGAACTTCAAAACCTTCGGTTCAAGAAGGAAATAGAGTTGACAGAAAGAGGGTCCGGGGTAATTATCTCCCATGTGTGAGAAGAATAATCTAGATCGTCGTCATATGGGTATCAAAAAAAGGTCTTGTGTGTGGATTGAAGAGTGACATGCAGTTGACTCATCTGAAAAAAATCTTTTGGAGATGCGGCTAACATAGATGAGAGCGTTTGTGGCGGCGTTATCGCCGAGCTTAGGGCGTCCAACTGGTCGGGTTTTGCCTGCTAAACCTTCTGAGGAAATACTGAGGTCAAACGCTAAAGCTCGCCCCCGTCGATCTGTTTTTAGTGGAACCAGTGATGTGATTTTGGTGGGGCTTGGGCTTCCTCCGCGGGACATGTCAAGGGCCCGGCCGAGAACGGCGAGGACGTACCCTGGCCGCCGAGAACCTCAGCCATTTACAAAAGTTAGACAACTTCATCATCTTGCATCTCGACATGTTTTCCGTTGAAGCGCCAGTATTATGTCTCATCCCTGCTACCAGTCAAGTGTTGCCCCGACTTGAGATGGGAAATTTCCAGTCAATTGCAAGGTGTAAGTCTTCGGATAAGGATTGCCATGCAGGCTACGGTTTGGAGGCGTGAGACCGCATGTTGCTGATAAAGATCCTTTTTTGTAAGTAAACATCCATTTACGGAGCTTTGGTCAAGATTTCTCAGTACCTCTTATCTAATTCAAGGGATACTCGTGAATTATATACTGATAGCTTAGAACAAGTCGCTGAGGAATCGATACATTCGTACATAACGAGGATGATCTACCGAATCCTTTGGTATTCTAATATTCAAAACAGTATGCAAGCATCATAAGAGCTTTGGCACGTAATTGCTTCAAGAAGAAAACCGTTATTTGCTTCAAGTCGGCGGCAGTGGCGGGACGCTAAGCAGAGATCGAAGACAGCTGCGTGTGGTCAGCGAATCAGCAACCAACAAATGAGGGCTTTCTGCGAGGGAAAGTAGGTACTAAGCATACCTGATGGGTTGCTGTCTATTGTCGGTTGCGTGAGAAGAAACGGAGCCATCGCAAATTTGTCTCAGGCCTTCGAAGAGCGTCCCAGTTTCTTTCTTGAGCGCGTATATCTTCAAGAAGAAGGTTGATTACCGTGGGAGGCTCAGCATGAAGACGGTTTCCATGCACTTCGTAAAGGGGTATCAGGTTGTAGGGATTCCGAGAGCTCCTAACCGCCCTGTAGGCGAATATTGCCGACGCAATGGCTACCAAAAGACTCGGCACCCCGAAGACAATTGCCACGAGGACTTCGGCTGAGAGCGGCATCTCGGATGCTAGTGAAGATGACAAGGTGCGAAAGAAACCCAATCCAAAAACCAAGTGAACAAACAAACAGAGCGAGTTGGCTTGCGTTGTCTATATATGCGATACGGTTTTTGATTTCTGCACCATCAAAACCCAAGCTCCGAGTCGATGCACTATATATAAGGATGTTGGGTAGCAGAGCCCCGGGGCGCATACCGATCGCCGCAATATGCAAAATTGAAGCCAGTAGGTGTTTGGCACAGACACTTTTCGACGTTGTTTTAGGTGGTCGAAAATCGTACGCCTCCTCCCTCGCCGCGCCACGTTACCGCGTGCGGGCTTCTTCCATTGGATGCTGCCGACTTCACCCCTTGCCGAATCCTGCAACAAAGCTTTGTGAAAACCAGAGCGGGGAGCTACTCATCACACTAGACCGGGTCGTTGTTCTACCTCACATAGGTATGGGAGAAAGGAGGCAGTGGCAGCGGGGAGGTGTAGTCTCCGCTTCAGCGTTGAACCACTCAGTTCTACCTACCTAAATTACGTACCTCGGGCAGCCACAAGATGTTTTCTTTTGCAAAAAAGCCATATTCTGAAAGACACGTTGGCGCCCTGCGAATGGCTCGCAGTAGAGCTGGTTCTCTCCCCATAAAGCCATGCCGCCCTTTATTGCATATCCACGTTCGAAGGACATTACTCGGTCTTGGAAATCTGGATTATTCTATCACATTTAGATTACTACGGGCCCACGGAAGTGGCTGCTTCTCAGTGGTACACCTTGGGATCCAATTCATCGAGAATACCGACTCGTCTTATGTTTAGGTCAGATCTCCCTCTCCAAACATAGGTAACTCGATACAGCAGGAAGAAACACTGTTGGTAGCCCCGAGAAGCGAGCTCGACCATGTGCCACAACAGTCTTGATGAATTTTGGTCTACCATCTACCTATCCCGGCAGGCACCGCCATGATCCGCGCGCTTTGGAAGAAAACAAGTCATCTCTCATAGTTTTTATTTTTCAAACCGCAAAGCCCCCAAGCCCCAAAGGCTCTTCTTCTTGTCTTCATCTCGATTTGTTCATGCCGTCTTAACATCAAGCTCTACGCTCCCTGGTAGTAAGTTGTCTAGCCCGCCGCCTCTCGTCCTCAGTCAACACCCAAATCATGCCATCCTCGTCCTCGTCCGGATTATCAACCGCAGAGATCTCCTCCCACTCTTCCTCCTCCATGTTCGCCACCATAAGGATCTGCGACACCCGCGCAAAAAGCTCTCTGACGCCGTAGTTGCCCGTGGACACGGTGCTGACGATGCTCGAGAAGTCGCGCTCCATGCGGATGACGCCGTAGGCATTCGCTCTGGCGTCCCAGACCCTGCGCTCGAGGACGCGCGCGAGGTACCGGGCTGTGAGGTCGTGCAGCGTCGTGAAGGTGTGGGCGGTCATGAGGCGGGCGATGGGCTTCATCAGCTGGTCCCAGCCGTGCTCGAAGCGGCGGGATACCTGGTCCAGCATCTCCTCCTCGTCTTCGTCGTTCTGCTCTGCGTACTCGGCGAGTTCCTCCTCTGTGAGAGAGTAGTCTACATCGCGGAACGTGTCGGAAAGCACGGGGCGCAGTCGTGGTTGGACGACGCGCTGGAAGAGGACCTGCAGTCCTTCGTTGAGGAGCTCGGTGGTCTTAAGGGTGAAGGAGCTGTGTAGTGTGTTGAGGGCGGAAGTGACAAAGGTGACGTCCTTGTCGAAGGGGAAGGAATCTCTGAGCGACGGCTCGTGGGCTTCGCCGTTCGCCTTTGCCGCCTCGTTTGCGCTGCCTATGTTGCTCGTGATGATGCGGTTGAGGTACTCGTTGGCTGTGTCGAGACTGTTTATGAGAACAATGAATTGGATGATCTTGTCTTCTGGCGGGAAGCCTCCCTGTACAATTGGCTTGGGATAGGACTCGTCGCGCATCTTTCGTTGGATCATGCCTATGAAGTCGGAGCTGAGGACGCGACCGATCGTAGGGATCACGGAGGCAATGACGTCTCTCTGTGATGTAGATGTTGATTTCTGTATGACTGCGCTGACGACGTACATGACATCGTCGACAGCGGATATGATGAATGGCTGATTGGTGTCGACCTGCTTGTTCATGCTTAGAGACAGTCCAGTTGGCATCTCGTCCAACTGGAAAGCCTTCTCAACCGATCTTCGGAAGAAGAAGGTCATCATTGTATTATATGGTGAAGTAAGCTTGTCTGAAATCTTTCGTTTGAGATTAGACTTGAAGACTAACTCCGGTATGGAAAGCGGAGCGTCCTCAGGGGCATCGGGTTCCTATCATCTTGTTAGACTTTAATCTCACCAAGCAATGAAAGCCACTTACGCGGGTCTTTCCTGCTAAGAAGCGGGAGTAAAGCGACCACCGGCCGAGCATCACGGCGATCTCACTAAGAATTGCGTCCACCTCCTTCATATTGACGCCCTCATCCTCGCTGGGACGCGGATTTGCGCCAGCTCCCATTGCAGGTGAATTGACCCGTGGTGTTCCGCTTCTTTGCGGTGGCAAGAAGCTCTGAACCAGGAAAGAGAACGGGTAACTCTTGACGTCCTTCAGGCGTCTGTCGACATCGCGCTCATCGCTCCACGAGTCAAGGATGATGCCACCCTGTACATCCGCCTCTTGTTGCAGACGCTCGATAACGCGGACCATCTTCCCAGAGCCATAGTGTCTCTCGACGAGACCTCCGTGTCCCTCAACAATGCGCGCAATGTGATCAAACAGCCTGGTGAGGGCATTGGCGTAGAAGAACCCTTCTTTCCGAGCTTGCACGCCAGGCCCTTCCTTCAAGACCGATCTCGCCGTGCCAGCCACGCCCTGGCATACATATCGGCCATATACGTCGAGACCAACATCTCCTCTTCCAATCAACGGGAACAGCTTGAAGAATCTCGTAACCTTAGCACCATCGCCTTCCTTGGTCGCCTTCTCGAATTCCCTGAGGAACAGTCCACACAAGCTCTCCTTGGCGTTCTCGAGCGTAACCCATGGCGGGTCGGGCACCTCGACGGAGGGCACGATCGACGACGCAAACTTGCCCTTTGTGATATCCTCGGGCACCTGCGCAGCGCGCGCAAGGTACGCCGCCGCAGCTTCCCAGTCCTGCGGGGCACCCATGCTGCCCACGACGCCCTGCACGCAAGCCTTGAGCTCCACGACCTGCTTCACGACCTCGAGCGTGTCCTCGACGCGGCTCTTCTCCAGATCCAGCTCCTTCACCTTATTACTCAGCCGGCCCGCCGTGTCGGCCGCCGTCGCGAGCATGTCGTTACCGATGGACCGCGCGGCGATGACCTGGCTGCCGAGCCCCGCGCGGAGGAGGTCGAGCCGGCCCAATTCGCGGGCGAGGTCGGCCTGCGAGCCCAGGAGAGCATCGAGACGGCTCGTGACTGTCGATTCGCGGGCGTGGAGGGCGTCTAGAGCGGCGCGCACCTCGGCGACGCTTGAGGCAGCGTAGATGGAGGTGGTGTTGGAGCTACTGCCAGGTCGGGCAGCTCCTGCGACGAGTGCTGCGCTGTCGGCGGCATTGTCGCTGTCCGCGCGATGGGAAGAGACGCCATTCGTGAGGGTTGACATTGGCGCAAGCTGGCTGAGAGGTGCATAGCTGCCTGAGCTTGCCAGCAGAGGTAGGGTGGGTGCAATCCGGGCCGGTGGGGGGTTGAGGTCGAGGTGCAGGTGAAGGTGTTAGCTGGCCCGAAGTGCAAGGTAGGAGGTTCGGTGAACCCTGCACACCGGTAAGCGAGTGTCGGTGTGGGCGCAAGGGATGCAGAACAGAGTTTGGGCTGATCTGCCAACTGTCAAGTTTAAGGTGAAGCTATTGGACGAAATTTGGTGGAAATTTGCAATGCATCTTTTGGAAAGGCCGTTAATTATTTACCGTATTCAGAGTTTACATATGTGCTTCCGTTGACAAGCACAATCCGCCTGTACCCCCTTTGCATGAATGCTGCCCCCATTTCTAAACCGCCTGACTGTAACCACCGGCCAGCCTCCGCCTGGCATACTTCCAATATTTTCTAAACTCATCCGCCCAGAACACCGTGCTGCAAAGCATCAACAGACCAACCAAGTCGAAGAAGCCCAACGCTTCCGTCTGGAAAACCTCCTGGAGCCAGGGGAAGTATATAACGAGCAATTGGCCCGCAATACTGAGCGAGACAGCCCAGTTGAAGAGCGTGTTTGAGAAGAGTCCAACTTCGCCTCGCAGAACCGACTTGGACTCGGAACGACAGGCCAGAGCGTTAAACATGTCAAATAATACAAAGCAAGTGAAGGTCATCGTAGTGTCGCGGCGGTTAACCTCGCCATCCGACATCATCTCGCGGCTGTAGACGAGCATAGTACCCAACATGACGATGGAAGCCGAGGTGAGGACGCGGTAAAGAACGGCTTTGGTGAGCACCGCATCATTGCGCTTGCGAGGAGGGCGATTCATGACATCGGCGTCGACAGCCTCCACGCCGAGCGATTGAGCGGGCGGTCCATCCATGATGATATCTGTGACTGGTTAGTAAGGTCGAGTAAGTGTGCACGGTGGAAAACTCACTAATCCAGAGAATCTGCATCGCATTCAGGGGCGACTTAAAGCCGAGTAGAGTGCAGAAGAATACCAATGACAATCCGGCAGCGCTTGTGCTAAGCTGGAAAGTCAGGAAGTTCTGGATGTTGTTGAAGATTCCCTTGCCCTCTTCAATGGCCCGTAGAATCGTCGAGAAATCATCGTCTGTCAGGATCATATCCGCAGCCTCCTTGGCAACATCAGTTCCGTGTAAGCCCATGGAAATACCAATATCGGCTCGCTTCAGTGCCGGAGCGTCATTCACACCGTCTCCAGTCATGGCGACGATATCGCCTCTGGCCTGGAATGCCTTAATGATTTTGAGCTTGTGATCCGGGTTCGTGCGAGCGAAAATAGTGGTGTGCTGAATGGCTTGAGACAATTCCTCTTCCGACATGGAATCAACGTCCTCGCCTCTAAGGACGGGACGAACGGCCAAAGCACTGGATCCCGCCTCACTTGCTTTGGCGATTGGCATGCCGAGCTGCCTGCCAATGGCCACAGCAGTGGTCTCGGCATCGCCCGTGATCATCACAACCTTGACCCCTCCACGCAGAAGCTTCCTAATCGAACGGCCGACCCCAGGCCGGGGGGGATCGCTCATACCGACCAACCCGGCAAAAGTGAGGCCTCTATATGTCTCGTCTTGTTGAGGACGCGGGCTACCTGGAGTGCTGCTGCGAGTAGTTGGCGCTAAAGTCGCCCTGCCCTTGGCAGATCGTGACACAGCACCGCTGGCAAAGGCAAGGACTCGTAGACCCTTTGCAGCCATAGTCTCGGCTGCTTGAATGGCCTCGCTGCGACGCGCAGAGTCGAGGACAATCTCTCGTCCGTCGCGAGTGAGATAGGTGTCGCAAGCGTCCAAAACTCTATCAATAGCCCCCTTCATGTAGGCAAATTCTTTGGAATCAGTTCCGATGGTGACTCCCATCCACTTCCGTTCAGAACTGAACGGAGTTTCGCTGAGACGGGGGCCAATAGACTCGCGAACGTCGTGTTCTTTGAATCTGTCGAGGAGGTCAAGCATAGCAACATCGGTAGGTTGTCCACACCAGCGCGTAAAGGTCGAGGCAAAGTCAGTTCCCTGTGTTGACGAGAGCACGGCCCTGGCTGCTGCGCCATTTTCGGTGTATTGCTGTGCGAGACGGCCGTTGTTTGCGATGTTACCAATACGCAGGATGCGCAAAGTAGCAGGATCAGGCTTAGTCTCAGTTGCTTCGTCGTCGGAATCTACATCTATGGCATCGTTGGCACCAAAGTACCACATCTTGGCGGTAGTCATATGATTCATAGTCAAAGTACCTAGAGAAAGTTAGCATGAGTGTAGTACACGTGCGTCCGAACATATCTCACCCGTCTTGTCGGTGCAAACAACGTTCACCGAGCCCAGAGTCTCTACTTTCGGCATTCTGCGCACAATGGCGTTGTGACGGGCCATTCTATGGACGCCGAGGGCCAAAGTGACCGTTACGATGATTGGCAAGCCTTCGGGAATGGCTGCAACAGCAAGCGAGATTGAAATGGTAAAAATCTCCATCAGCTTCTTACCCTGAAGCCAGCCTACCAAAGAGATCATGCCGATAATGACGAATGACACCTTGCTCAGTTGGGAGCCAAGATCGTCCATGGACAGTTGGAGTGGTGAGCGCGGACTTTCGGTTCCTGACACACTGGTTGCGATGGTGCCAAAATGGGTGTTTCCACCTGTCGCAAAGACAATCCCTTGCCCGTGTCCGGATCTGACCAATGTTCCCATCCAAGCGATGTTGTTGTCGCCGCTTCCGCTGGCCTCTCTACCGTCAGACAGCGCCGAAGGGCTAGGTAATTGGAGGGTTTCGGCCCCGTACGCTGGCGATAGCACGCCACGCGATCGTGGCTCAGCAGTAATTCGCACCGGTTCGTTCTCGCCCGTCAAGTTCGATTCGTCGATTGTCAGATCTGAGGCTTTCGTGACTCGAATGTCGGCTGGAATTCGATCACCCGTTGTGAAGTATACCAAGTCTCCCGGTACCAACTGCGAGGCCATGACCTTTGACGACGTTGCTTCCAGCATTTCCTCCCCAGGCGTGCTTGATGCCACCGACTCATCTCCATCCATCGGGGGCTTCGGCGGCCAAGTGGGCGTTCGGGCACTGCCTGGTGTCTTGTTCAACGCTGACCGGACCAGGTGGGCATGGTTCGGGACCAAATGACTGAGCGCCTCTATTGATTTTTCTGATCTGTATTCCTGAACAAAACCAACTGTAACGACAATAGTGACTGCGACTGTGATGCTAACCGCATCGTCCATGTTGCCAAGGAAGATGGAAGCCCCGGCTGACACCAGCAGCAGCACGATGAGTGGCTCTTGAAACTGCTTGATGAATCGCAACCACAGTGGTTCAGGCGGCTCATGGGGGATTTCGTTCGGGCCCCAGTCGCGTAGTCGGTTCAGCGCTTCAGCCGCTGACAGACCGTGGGTGAGGGAAGTCTGCAGCCGGCTGGCGGCTTCTGTTGATGTCAAGAAGGAGAACTCGTCCGCAACGCTCTGTGGTCCATCGATGTCAGCAAAACTCGTCCACATGAATCAAGAGAAACCGCAGCGTACTCTTGACTGCGCAGATGTCGTCCGGATGTGCCCTGGCCGCTCTCGCGGCGGTTCCGCCTCGAGGGGCTCCATGGGCAAACTGTTCATGCCCGGCACCTTTGAGGCCAGAGGCAGCAAATATTCGCCATCGTCGTCGGAGGCTTTCCTCTTGTGCCACGGCCACTGCATGTCTGCGGGAGGCGAGGCAAGGCTACCTCGATCACGACCTTCCAGATGTTGTAGGAGGCCCAGTATCGGTCATCTGTTGCGGAGCCGGCCGAAAAGGGGACATGCGCCAGGGTGTGCAATGATGTCGTCGGGTCGCGGGAGAGGGTCTTATTCGGAGGACGTATCGCCCTTGGTCGGGTAGGTATCAATTGGCGGTAGCTGGGTCCGAAGACATAGTTTCGCGGGCGTTGTTGACAGGTGAAGGAGAAAGGATGTCGTGGTAGGAGTTGAGAAAACGTGTGCCTTTTGCCAGGATAGCAAATGCACATTGCAAGGCCAAATCTGGACCTTTGAGGACCCAAGGTGCAGGGTCACAGGGCGTGTGCCAGCGCGCCTATGGGGCGGGTCCGTGTCTATTGGACCAGGGGGCCCTGGAACCTGGACTCGGGACCGCAATCGCCGCTCCGCATGTTCCAGTGGAGAGACACCGTAATACCACTGTGATAAGCATTCGATGCCGTGTTCAGGCGTCAGAGAGCTGCATGATACTGCTAACGTGCCGGTCTCGTGGTTACGGCACTCACAGCGTCATCAGAGCTAAATGGAATGAATCGGTGGTCTTTTCTTGGTACGACTAGCAGACTTGTTATGTGGTACATGCACTAGCAAAATCATAGCTATGCGCCACAGGTATTTGCAAGATCTGTGTGTTCCTCAGAAGAGCGAGGACGATGTAAAAAGACTTTTACAAAGATTCGTCCAAGTCGCATACTTGACGCGTGGTGAAGCCAAAGTGTCTCCAGTCTATTTTTGCTGGGATTTCCAGGGTGCGCAACGACAGAAACGGACGGGGAGGCCCAATAGCAATTCAGGTATTGGTGTTGCCCGTTTGCGGTTTCATCTCATCCGCGTGGTTCCAAATGAGGCGGCAGCCAGGTGAACTCCTCGGTTGGCATTGTCCTCTTCAATCATGCTTGTTGGCTTTCTGTAGAAGACTGCCTCATTGAATGTAAGAAAAAAGGTCTTCTTGCGGTCATGAAGAAGGAAGCGCATATCGCAAACATGAACGAGGCTTGACCAACTCGGAGCTGCAAGTGGCTGGGTCCAGTGTGTGTACCTTGCAGCGGACCATGCGCTAGATGGCTTCTCGGGAGGCTCAGAAGAATACCGAGCTGGAATCGAGACGCTTGAAGCTTGGATCTTGACTGCTTAGGTAAGACAGCCCAAGAGCTTAGACCACATCTCGACCAGTCCGACGGTAGATATCGGGACGGTCTGATACGACAAGGGTGTTGAACTAAGTCAGGGGTTAGAGTTAACACTCTGTGGGAGAATTGCTTCGTACACAAGTTTTTCCCATATCATGTGGGATGAATCGAAAGACATCTTGAACAGTTGGTAAATTACTTCTCTGTCTGATTTTAGAGCTGTTTGGCGAGTAAATATCAGGTAAGGTAGCAGCTAGGTACACCGGCCGCCGCTTCCGGGACGGTCGCCGGGACAGCAGGTGGACTGTCCAAAAGTGGAGCAACGGCCCTCACGTGATGTGGCTGGTGCCACCGTGCCACCCAAATTCTGCGCAAACCAATCCCTGCCCCATCCCAGCCCCGTCATTTTGCGTCCGCTGGGCCAACCGTCGAGACAGAATAGACCACTCACCACACCTTGATTCCCCCCTCCTACTCATTTCCTCCATCTCCCTCATCGTCGCTCATCGCGCTTTTGCTCCCATCGCTATCGCTACCCCAGCGCATTTCGCCTCCTGCGATACAAATCATTTGCTTCATGTCGCCGCAACTCGCTTTTTGCGCGTGCTAGACTCATTACCGACCGCTACATCGACAACGCGACCGAATTTGCACCACAACGCGTCCCCTTGTTTACCAGAGCAAGCTTCCGAGCCGAACCCGCCCCTCCAACCCCGGCGCGCGTCGCTGTATAATACCTCACGGGCAATAGCTCTTGTTCATAACCCCTCTCCTTCACCAACTTGCATCAAATCAATCCCGAGCCGTCGCCATGTTCTATTCCGACGCGCTGCTCGGAAAGAGCGGTCCTCTTGTCCGCGTATGGCTGTCCGCCAACCTCGAGCGCAAGCTCTCCAAGACGCACATCCTGCAGTCCAACTTGCCCGACAGTGTAGAGGCAATCATCACACCCGGCCAGGCCCCCATGGCCTTGCGTCTAAGCGGTCAGCTGCTGCTCGGTGTCGTCAGAATTTACAACCGCAAGGCCCGCTACTTGCTCGAGGACTGCAATGAGGCTTCCATGAAGATCAAGATGGTGCGTTTTCTTCCTTGCACCCATCGCTTACGCGTTCCACTGACATTCTTAGGCCTTCCGCTCAAGCGACAACCACGATATTCCCGCCGCCAACCTGTACGTCAACAATCGCGAAGCTCTGTTGCTGCCTGACAAGATCACTCCACTCGACAACCTCGATCTGCCCCCGCCTCCCGATGCTGCCTGGCTTTTGTCGCAAATGGACGATGTGACGGCCACCCCTGTGGGTCGCAAGGGCCGCGTTAGCAACCGTGACATCAACCTGCAGGAGGATTTCAACAACAGTCAGTTCCTGAACCAGGCAGACACCCTGGATGATGAACTGGAGTTGGCGCCAATGGAGGATCTCGACTTGGAGCTGGACTTTGGCATGGACGTCGATGAGCCTATCGGCCGTATGGACACCACAATCGAAATGGGAAGAGACGCGCCCCTTGCCCGCTCTGTCGAGGACGACATCTTCAGCGAGCTCGACATCATGCCGCGCGGAAAGGACCAGCCGGAACGCGAGGCCTCACTTGGCTTGGATCTCAACTTCGGCGACGACAACGTTCGCATTGCTGACGAGGAGGGAGACATTCAAATGGGTGACGACAACGACTTCCAGTTCCCCATTGCCGATCAGTCCGTCGTCCCTGGGGCTCCTCTCGACATGGCTCGCGCCCGCATTTCCGAGTCCCCGCTTTCAGAGATCGACCCCGAGTTCGCAAGGGAGGTTGAGGAGGAGTACTCTCGCATCCAGCACACCGATCTGTACGAGCCCGATGAGGACCAGGATCTGTCCGTCGTTCGCCACCCCCAGCGCGCCAAGAAGAGGAAGGTTCTCCAGCCGGATGAGCAGACCATGCTCTCCAGCACTCACATCAAGGACCAGCAAGCCAACCACGCGAACATTCTGAGAGCTCAGTCTTTCCTGCCCAAGGACCCCTTCGTCCTCGCTTTGATGGAGATGCAGAAGAGCGGAGGCTTTGTTTCTAACATCATGCTTGAGGGACGCGGCACAAACTGGGCACCTGAGCTGAGAGGCATGCTTTCTCTCGAGGCTATCAGCCGATCCAGCGAGCTGAAGAGAAAGCGCGACAGCGGCATCGCCGATGTTGAGAGTGATCAGGGTATCTCTTCCAAGTCACCACGCCTGAACGTGGATGAGGAGGATGCTTTCGCTATTGAAGATGCCGGCCTGGGCAACCAAAGTGTTGCAGCAGACGGCACCATCCTTGAGATCCCGGCCGAGGACGATGGCATGGGCTTCGGAGGAGACGATGACACTGCCAGACCCGTCTCTCGCGAGGCAAGCCCGATGCCGAACTTCGACGACACCGTTGCCCCCAACGTCCACCCCGAAGACAGCGGCCCGGTTTCCCTCGGCACCAAGCATGCCGTGCACGTCCTCAGAGATATTTTCGGCCCCGACGCCGAGCACGATGCCGACAAGCGCAAGAAGAGCGCAGTTGTCTTCCAAGACTTGCTCCCCGAGAAGAGAACAACAAAGGCCGACGCGACAAAGATGTTCTTCGAATGCCTCGTCCTCGCGACAAAGGATGCGATCAAGGTCGAACAGGGCGAAAACCTGGGAGCTCCTATCAAGGTCCGCGCAAAGCGTGGCCTCTGGGGCGCCTGGGCCGAGCGCGAAGCTGGCGGCGAGATTGCAGAGGAGGAGGAGGCTAACCAGCCAGAGCCTGCTGCTGTCAGCGCGCCCGCCGTCGCCGTTGAGGCATAGATGCTGGTCGCATTTTTGACGAGGAGTTTCCGATTGATGCATAGCTGTTGGGTCGGGATCTTGGCATGTAAAGTACATTGTTCTTTCTCCCTGTTGGACTAAGTTTGGGGTCGGTCCTGGAAATGGCACCCGGCCAAGTGGCGTTCGGAGTACCGGAGGCTGGAGAGATACCAGATGCTGTTGCGGCCTGGGAGGGAAAAAGCATGGTTTGGGTTCCAGAGCCGCGTCTCTTTGTTCTTGTTTATTGGAGGTTTAATGTGGTTTTCTGGGTTTTGCGCGTTGCTAGTATAGCTCGTTTTGATGGCTCCAAGCCCAGGATACCGCAGTAGCTACTTAGCTGTTCTTCATCGTCAATGAAGCTAGACATTTCCTTCCAACTTTAATCGTTCCGTATGCTATGTGATGTGAGCAGAGCTCGACGCAATCCGTGACTGAACATGCCGAATCCTCCCTGGCTCTCGGAATCGAGGTCAACATGCCGATATCCCACCGGGCGAATATCTTGGACGACCTCAAACCCAGCAGACTAACATAAAGGCCAAGGCCCTCGGGCGGACGAGACTGGCCTTTTCCCCCGCTTTAGAGATATCCCCAGATTGTTTGTTTGACAAATAAACGCGGAGAATCCTTGCTCGACATGCAGCTCATCCTTACCGGTGCAGACAGGGACCGATCTATTGGGCATATGTGAGCCACACACTCGCAAAAAGATATCCTTCGATATGGCTCGTCCTACGCTCTATACACTCCGCACGACTCCCACAACCCCGCGGGGACCCCAAGATTTCCCCGGAGTTGAATTCCAGAGATATCACTGGCTGAGATGGCGTCGGCATCTTGAGCTGTCGGTATCTTGGGTTATATAAGGGTAGCTTTCGTCACACGGATCTATGTATGCCATCTACTATCCTCATTCTAACAGCCAATTTCGAAGCTCCAAATTATCTCTCTTCATCACCGGCACCATGGGTTTCGCAGCAGCCGAAGGGACGACCGACCCCCCTGAGGTCCGCAACTGGACGATCCATTACATCGCCCTCGTGGCCTCCATGGCAGCCCTCTCTAGTAAGATTGCGAGACCAACCCCATCCCTGCCCAGATCTTGACTTACACAACTTCACTTCCTTAGTGGGCTACGATACCGCCGTGATTGGCGGCACAATGTCGCTCGACTCCTTCGTCCGCGACTTCGGCATCGACAACATGACCCCCTCGGAACGTGACAACTCCCAGGCCAACATCGCCTCCATGTTCCAAGTCGGCGCCTTCTTCGGCGCCCTGCTGACCTTCCCCGTCGCCGAGAAATACGGCCGCAAACGGGCCATCATGACCGCCGCCCTCGTCTTCTGCGTCGGCGGCGCCATGATGTCCGGCGCGAACGGGATGCTGGAGCTGGTGTATGCCGGCAGGGCGATCGGCGGCTTGGGCATCGGCATGGCGACTATGACGGTGCCGGTGTACATCGCGGAGACATCGCCACCGAGCATCCGCGGGAGGCTGGTGGGCGTGTTTGAGATCTTCTCGCAGGGGGGCGGGATGCTTGGGTTCTGGATCAACTATGCCACGGACCGGACGATCGACGAGCGGGAGAGGGCGCAGTGGATCGTGCCGTTGGCGCTGCAGCTGCTCCCGGCTGTGTTGCTATTTTTTGGGATTATGTTCTGTCCGGAGTCGCCGCGGTGGCTTGCTCGTGGGGATGACTTCGAGGCGGCGGAGAAGGTGTTGGTGTATATTCGCGGGCTCCCTGTGGACCACCCGTATGTGCAGAATGAGATGAGAGAGATCAGGCAGCAGGTTGAGGAGAGGAGCACCATGCGGTTGAGCAAGAAGCAACAGTTTCGAAAGCTGCTAGCCCCGGGGACGAGGAATCGAGTTGGAGTCGGTGCCTTCGTCATGTTCCTGCAAAGTTTCACTGGAGTTAACATTATGACTTATTTCAGCCCGAGAATATTTGAGACGTTGGGTATCGTGGGAACCAGGTATTTGTCTCTTTCTAGAGTTGACGGGATGATGCTGACAACTCTTCTGTAGCAACAAATTGTTCAGCACCGGCATCTACGGTGTTGCTAAGATGCTCGGTATGATCCTCTTCGCCGTGTGGGTTGTTGAAAAGATCGGTCGTCGTGGAGGGCTCCTTTGGGGATCCGTCATAGGTAGCCTACCTCTTTGGTACGTGGGCGGCTACGTGATGATTGCAGACCCAGCCACGAATGCCGCCGAAGGAAACATCCAGTTGAGCGGATGGGGTTATTTTGCTATGGTATGCATATATCTGCACTCCTTCATAATTTGCGCGACGATCCAGGGAATCACTTGGACATATGCAGCGGAGATCTTCCCGTTGGATGTCAGAATGTTCTGCGTTGCGATCTCAACGGCAAGCACATGGCTGGGTTCGTTCGTAGTGGCCAGAGCCACACCGTTCATGATCACAGACCTGGGGTACGGAACCTACTTCATGTTTGCTGGGTTCTTGATTGGCATCGGGTTGTGGTCATTTTTCTGTGTTCCTGAGACGAAAGGTGAGTACCTCTTTCCAAAACCAATAACAACTTGTCACCAATGCTTCGCAGGAGTCTCACTGGAAGAGATGGACGCCCTCTTCTCACGGCCTACTCATCTTGCCGTCTGGGCACAACTTCGCGGCAGGCCGATTCTTCCCCAAGACAACATCTCAGTTGTTGAATCCATGGATAAGAACGATGCAAAGGTCGATGAAGTGGCATAGTCGAGGCATGTCTCCGGCCGATTTCACCGTTGTCCCTGATCGGTGAATCCGGTGTCCGTTCGGTCCTTGGCTCGGCCCCACTGCCGGCTACAGCTCCGTCGAAGTGTCGAAAGCTTTATTTGGTCATGGTGTCTCAAAGATGAAAGGCACGATTGGGGAAGCTCCCAATTGAAATTAAACCCCTTACAAGCGCTTATCTTACGTACCGAAATGTTAGCAGAGTCCGGCGCTGACGTGGAGTCAGACTATGCCGGCGATCCGGCATAGATGGAACATTAGCATAAGCCTTTCCAGTAGCCAATAGATCCGCCTTTAACAACTGCCTATTTTCTGACATATGCATACGAGATTCCGGGCGATCTTACCAAAGTGATCATCATACACGTTGATTTAAACTGCTAAGCCCAGCAGACATTAAACCTGCGAACTTTATCTTACCCCTCAGTGCACCTCTCTCCGTCCCTGGCAAACCGTCCAATTTCGCATCAAACAAAGAGTCGCTCCTCTATGTTTTTCGGCAGCTCTATCAATCTGAAATTCAGAAAATGACGATAAGATCGCGTTTCGTGGAGCCGATTCCCATGCGTTCCCTTCAGACGTGGATATTTGGCTCCGCCACCGAAGAGTTACCAGATTCCCAGAAGCCAGTATTCATCGACGCCGATCGTCCAAAGTCCCATGTAGTGTCCAGATCAGACTTCAGACTACTTTCTAAACGAATAGCACTGGGACTCATCGATGCCGGCCTCGAACCGCAGGATCGAGTTTTGGTGTATTCCGGCAACACCATTTTCTATCCAAGCCTCTTCCTCGGTGTGTTGATGGCGGGCGGTATCTACACTGGAGCGAGCCCTAACTTCACTGCTCGTGAACTCACACATCAGCTACGAGACTCGGGGGCCGAGTTCGTGTTTGCAGCCCCAGAGAACCTCCCCGTCGCTATCGAGGCCGCCGTTTCTGCCGGCATATCACCAAGCAGAGTTTACATATTTGGAGCGGATGATTACAGAGCTGTCCCTCAGTTCGTCGCTTTCAGTGACGCTCACAGCAACGGCCCTCGGCATTGGACTGAGCTGATATCTGGGAATGAAGTCGCAGCCGCAGATTGGGTTTGGTTTGAGCCGGAGGATCCTGCATCGACGACTTGTTGTCTGAACTACAGCAGCGGGACAACTGGTGTACCCAAAGGCGTCGAGGTTACACATCATTCCTATGTCGCCAACTGCGTTCAAGTCATCAGTTTGTTGAACAAAGCTCCGGGGATTGAAGAATTCCGACAAAGAGAGCGGACGCTATGTTTTCTGCCCCTTTATCATGCGTTTGCGCAGACATATTTCGGGGCCATCTTTCCGGCTCTGCGTGTTCCGGTCTACATCATGGCTGCATACAACTTCGAGAGAATGCTCCAGCATATCCAGAATTTCCGCATCACCACGCTCGTTGCCGTACCTCCCGTCCTGGTCAGCATGGCAAAGAACCCGATAGCCAAAAAGTACGACATGTCCAGTCTCGAGAACATCAGTGGTGGCGCTGCTCCGCTGTCCGGCGACACAATCGAAGAAGTCGGCAAGATGTGCTCGCCTGGTGCATCGGTCAGGCAGGGATGGGGGATGACGGAGATGACCTGCTACATCTCCAGCTGGGATCCAAATGTGAAGAACGAGAGCGCTTCAGTTGGCGAGCTGATGCCGAATCTGTCGGCGCGGCTGATGCAGCTGGATGGGAAGACCATGATCACGAGGCCACACGAGCGTGGAGAGATTTGGCTGACGGGGCCGACGCTCATGAAGGCGTATTGGAAGAACGAGAAAGCAACGGGCGACACGATGCATGTGGATGCCGATGGAACCAGGTGGATGAAAACCGGCGATGTCGGGTTTGTCGATCGGTATGAGACGGGCGCTCTCTTTTACATTGTCGATCGCATCAAGGAGTTGATCAAAGTCAAGGGAATCCAGGTTGCGCCGGCTGAGCTGGAAGCTACGCTTTTGGAGAATGAGAATGTGTCTGATGCTGCCGTTGTAGGGGTAACGATCAATGGGCATGAGGTTCCTCGAGCTTACGTCGTCAAATCCGGCGGCTCTCAAATTACTGCGGAGGAAGTTGCCCAATGGATGGAGGGCAAGGTTTCGAAGCACAAGCATCTTAAAGGAGGCGTTTGCTTCATTGATGCGATCCCAAAGAATCCTGTAAGTGTAAATTATTTACACCAAGCCTTCGCTAATACTCCCTTTCAGTCTGGTAAGATTCTGCGCAGGTCGTTGAGGGATCAGGCCCGAAAGGAAGTAGGCGACAGAAAGCCTTTCGATTCCAAACTTATCTGAAAGGCACTGCGAGGTTGTCGAATTGTGAGATAGCATTCCTTCTTTGCAGGATGATTGCGACTTTCCGAGTAGAGCTTTAGGGCCTGTTCCTCTCGTGTATCTGCTGCATCTAGATTTTGAACGTAGTCGCTGTTGCACTCCGCAGGCCTTGACGGATTGGACGTACACGCTAGAGAGGGTATATAGTAGAAGCAAAACATGATGGATGTCCACAAAGACGGAATAGATGATATGATAATCACAGCAGATACAGTACTCGAGATTAAATACGACAAAGTCAATGTATGTTCCCAAGCCGAACTTTGCAAGAGATTCAAGTCGTGTCTGTGGCTATTTTCAGAATGAGACCTTCTGGTTCTCCTCTAGAAGATCGCCACAGCTCCTGGCGGGCTTGCAACGCCGCCAGGGACGTTCAACGGCACACTCACAAACATGAATGACCACCTCTGCTCCTTCTTACATTTCGCAGCCAAGTCTTCGAGATCAAAGCTCTCTCCAATGGGCATGCCCCATCCGCTGAGGAAGACTTCGTGCATGCTAACACCCCATAGCTTCGGGCTAGGCCAGGCCTCGTACGCAACAGTGTCAGAAGCTACAGCTGCGAAAGCGTTGTCCCAGTGCCATTGGATAGACTCTTCAGTCGCTTCAACTCCGCAACTTGATCGGACTTGCCGACGTGGTAGGGCGGCTTGCTGGTCCACGGACAGAGCGCGATAAGCCTCGAGCCATCCGGTTTGGACTAGAAGTATATCACCAGGGCGGAAGTGGACCTTTTGGGCCCTCGCAACGGCCTTCAGTTCGGAGAGCGGAATACCGTGAGCTGAGAACGGATCAATTTGGATACCTTGTTCCATGGCCCACGAATGCCAATCCAGAAGAATACCGCGGCCAGTGACGGTCTTGTTAGCGATGTCTGTTTTGTGTTAGTGATGTCGATCGGGAGATTGCAACCGCGATACTCACTTTGGACTCCGATCTTTAGGTTGGCTTTAGGACCGGATATGTCGTCTTGAGTCACACCATTGTAGTACTGAAGAGTCGACTGGTAAGGGTAATGTCGAGGACCGTCCCAGTGACTTGACCCCTGGGTATTGATATCTAGCTAGAGTATTCCGTTAGAAGAGTTCACGCCAGCCTGTTCTCTCAAATCAGGCTCACCTCGTCATCATTTGCATGTCCTTTGGCGATGATGTTATGGGAACATAGCTTGCGTACTGGGTTCATAGGTTGAATGAATGCATTCAGGGGAAGACTGACGGAGAGGAATAATATTAGCATTCACTAGTGGATGCGAATAGGATAAGTGAGGGACTGCAGCTTGCTTCAGGGGTACCGTTTCTCCAGTAACAACCTCAGCAGTTGCAGCCTTGACCAGAGATGGGTTGAGTAAGTTGAGAGTTCCTAAATCATCTTCAGCACCCCATAAGCCCCATGCAGATGCTTTGGGGTCGCCCTTGCGAAGGGGTAACTCGCTGAAACTTGGTCGAGAACTTGTCTTGGTCGTCGTAATAGCGCCCATGTTTCTGTGTCAAAGTAACTGATAGTAATTTCTATCTTCGGATGATATATCTAGAATCAATCACGGTATATAACAGACCCGGAGATATTCATCCGACAGTGGCTGCGCCAGTGCCTGTGTCGGTGCCAGATTCCGGCTGGGGATCCACTTCCCCGGCCTTCTGTGGAAAGCAATGCCGATGGTGGTTCGGCAAGATCGGTATGCTCTTCGGTACTCTAGCCACAACAAATCTGATGCGGGGTCAGGTCTCTCTCAATTACATGCGGTTGGCAAACTTCTTACGTAGTTGCTACCATGCCTTCGTCTTAGTAAGACTGTACTCCGGAGGTGTTCAATTGAACGCGATAAAGATGGTCTCTCCCCGCGATGTACAGCCAGTCCTCTACCCACTGCATGTTCACGGCAACATCGCCCTCCGCGACCCTGATGATACCAAGCTGCTTGCCGCTGGAGTCGAAAACACTAACTCCGCCCGTAACTCCTCCGTATACCCGGCCATCACGGTCCACTTTGATGCCGTCCGGAAACCCCGAATCGGCATACGCAAAGACATCGCCGCCGCGCAATGGGAGTCCCGTTGAATGAATCTGGTATTCATAGATTGTACGACCACCAGCTGGATTGTCTGAAGCATTGCCGCGGTTTGTGACGTAGAGCTTGTCCTCCTCAAGATTCAGAGCAACACCATTTGGGTTGGTAAAATGACCACCACCAGCGCCGGCAACCATCCTTAGGTCGCTAGTCCCCATATCCCACCTCCAGACCCCGTTAGCTAGCTCCGGCTTCAAAGTGTCGTTGAAGTTATCATAGCCGTAGTACCCATCGGTGAAGTAAGCAACCCCGTCTCGTGTGGTAACCACGTCATTGGGGCTGTTGAATCGATGCCCAAAGAAGTTGTCGAGAACAATCTCTGTTTCCAATGTGACAGGATTCATTCGAACGATGCCGCCGGGGTTCGTGTAGTTGCCCTCTTGTGCCCAGTAGACACTCCCGTTGTGATAGTAAGCGCCATTGGGAACTGTGAGCTGTGGCGAGGGATAGACCTTCTCCGTAGTCGGTGGCGTGTCATTGAGATTGACTCGCCAGACCCATGGCATCGCGTCTGCTGAGAACCCTTCCTTTGGTGGGTGTAGCTCGGCGAAGAAGATGCAGTTGCATTCAGGTGAGAAGACAGTTCCGTCGTGTACTATACGCCGCGAGAATGAAGGTCCTGGGGGAAAGTCGAAGATCGACTCAATTACAGCGAACTCAGTACCATCGTTCACTTGTAATATCTTACAAAACTTCAGTTAAACACCTTGCCTTTGGAAACAAATTGATGTAAATACCTGATACATGTCCTTGTCTAAGACAATGAATGAAGCATTTGCGAGAGCTGCGCTGGCTTCCGCAGCAGCCTCTGTCGAGTGTCCATCGAGAACTTCGGTGCTCCACCAAGTTGTCGTGACGTTGCGGTTGAAGTTCTCGGCTGGAAACACATTCCTGAAATCAGCTGGTACCTCATATGCGGTGGGAAAGTTGTCGGTGGAAGCTCGAGGGTTCACCAACGGGATACTTGCAGCTTGTGCCTGTGGAACGTCTCTGAGGAAAGATCCCACCGTCACTATGAAAAAAATCAAGGCGAAGGAAGACGACATCATTATTTCAAACCAGACGAGAAAACGGTTTTTGGCCTGGCGCTGTTCACCTGGATTCATTCCCATCAGGACATCTCGGCTGATATCCCACTACTTTTTATGATGTCTAAGTCTCCATACCCCGCGTTGCTATATTTTGGCATGAGCCGTGATGATCGACGAGATGGACCATGTAATTGAATTACTACATCATGTTTTTTCAGCGCGTTGGTAGCGACTAAGCCAGACTACCTAGAAGTCGGATTTGGATACCGAAGTGTGGATGGAGGGTTGCAGCGGTTACTCATGTGATAGAGAAAACTTCCAAAAAGAATTCGACTAGGAAAGTTGGCAAATATGCTCCTCCATAAATGTCAGGCGATCAGAGTCGCTGTCATTGGAAGCCCTCGGTATTCGATAACGACGGCCACAACATCCCGGTGCTAGAGAACGTCGATAAGCCGGCAACCCCCCAAGGGAAGGCGTCGGGATGAAAACCGGCGCCAGTATCCGTACCGCCGTAACCAATATCATCACTCCATAACCCGCCGTCAGCTGCAGGGAAGAGGGAGTTGTTATTGTTTGTTGCAGAAGAGTCGGCAGATACCGAATATGAACCAGGAACTGAACCCAGAGACCCGCCAGTACCGTTGGCGAATACGCCTCCATTATTCTCGGTATTCATCGTGCGGAGTTGTCGTTGGCTGGTTTGTTGCACATGATTCCTTGGCATGGGTGTATTGTCATGTCCGCCGTTTCTGGACGGCTGTCCCGTACTCAAGAGTCTTCGAATGGTATCCAGACTTCTTCCGCTTCCAGGTGTAAGCGAGGCTTCCTTCTGCAAAATCCTGAATGCGGCTGCAAGACGCGCTGCAGCGTCTTCTCGGTCTTGTTGTGTCGTTGCTCTCTTCAACTCTTCCGTCTCAACAGTTGCCGCGGTATATATGCAGTAGCTGACTTGATAGGTCATCAGTCTATGGGGAAATGTTTGGGAGTACAAGGAATGAATGGCATGAATCTTCTTCGAGTGTTCGATGCAAATTTTCATGCTTCGCTCTTTCAGGTCCCTGTCTGAAGAACTGAGATAGGGTCGCCTGAGAAGAATATGAAGAGCATGGTAAAGAAGACTGCCATTGTGTCAGTTTCATGCTTTCTCTTGCATCGCATCAACGTACTTCAAGGAAACAATATGCGGCGGCGGACTTTGTCTCAAGCCAGAGATATCCTCTATCCTCAGGGCAGTAGGCATGCTATCATACCATTGATTGATTCTGCTATCAATGTCTGCAATCTGAGAGGCAAACTCGTCATTTTTGGTCACACTAGAGAACAATAACATCATGGATGTTGTGATTTCATGTAGATGACAAAAGGCGCAAAACGTTGATGTAGTCCAAGAAGGCAAAAGAACGTAGTTTTCGGAAACTTCAGTGGCGTGGACCGGCTTCCAGAGGCGTTGATCGTCAACTTTGTCCAGTATTTCTTGAGTGGGGTATGGACGTCTTGTCAATGAAGGGGGACGTCCGAGGGCGAGGCTCAGAGTCTTGTCCCATATGTACGCGGAGTTGTACAATCGCTTGCGAGTCTCGATCTCGGCCGGTGTCCATCGCTCCAGCCTCGACAACTTGGTGATATCAAGGTGAAGACCAATGTCTTTCATCATGCGGATGGCCATACCAGTGTAAAGCCATCCTTCGGAGCTCTTTCCCGAGGCGCACTGTCTACCCCCAAGTATCAACAGCCCCTGAATAGTAGGTATGGCGGGTTTGGTTGCTGCCATCTCTTGGAGCAGTAACTCTCGAGCACGAGCGATGAAGCGCTCTCCTTTGCTGACGTCGGAGTTTTCTGAAGCTTCTTCAGGTAAGTGCCTCGCTGCCAACCCAAAGATGCATAGTAACAGAAAATCAGAGCAGTATGGGCCTCCCAGTGCCAGATCCATCATTAGAATAGGCCTATAGACGCAGCTGTGCAAGGGGTGTAACCATGACCAGTATATGTCTAGCAGGGCCATACCAGTGGTTGCATCTACTCCTGTCCCATTCATTTCTGGCTTAGCAGCAATAAGAGGCAGCCAGACAGAGTCCATTAGAGCGTACTGGGACTGCAAGGTTTCGATGTGACCCCGTATCGGGTCGCTCGCCTCGTTGAGGTTGTCTTCCTCCAGAGCCCCGGCGTGGAAACGACTTGTAGGGCCGTTATAGATGACTGCTCCATCCTCTCCAATGCCAACTTGGAACCACAAAGAGCCCTCACCGTCGGGCTCTGTCGCAGCTGTGGCCCGACTGCCGTCGTTTGGTGGTCCATTGGTAGAATCCGACGTTGCGTTTGTCTGGGGTGTATACGTCTCATGCCTCTGGTTCGTATTCGAAGGTCTAGGTGATTCGTTTTCAGGCTCTCTAATTGAAGCTTCTAGGCTTCTAATCCGGGCGTTGGCTTCACGGAGTCGGGATTCCGCCGAGGTGGGGGCCGGCCAGACACACTTCTCGCCTGACCGGCGACATCCTGTACAGATGGGCCGGTTTCCACTGCATTTGACTTTGCGGGATTTGCAGCTGGAGCAGGCAAATCCATATCGGCGTGACTTCCGGGTTGCCGAAGACGTCGGTTCTGAGGTTGAAGGTCTCGGTATCTGTGCCGGACTCGCCGCAGGGTCTGAGTTCGAGGTTGGGGTCGGCATTCGGAAAATGACTGTAGACAGACTTCCGAGCGTCCGCAATGAGAATCGTCAAGATCACGAAGAGTTTTGATTCATGTTGAAAGAAATATTGGATAGCGAGAAATGGTGTTAGCCTTCGGAATCTTGAATGGGTCGACGTTGATTTAGCGTGCCCGCCTCGGCATCTGTGGGATTTGCGGGGTCAACATCCTAGATGCCGGTTCCCCCGCGAACTCCGGCCCCACAGTATGCCCCCGTCTTCGGGACTCCGATAGGTAACTGGAGCTCAGATGGAGTTGTCAATCAGCGAACATACCATTTCGAAAGTTTCTCACAACGTTAGGTTCGCCAAAAGATTGGTGTAATCCTTATGAATGAACCCAATCTTCATCATGACAGTGCGACATTTTCATGCGACTTTCACGACATCACCTGCCAAACACGCATACCACGAACGGTCTGAGTTGTTGTCATTCTCTTCTTGGTTGCAGTCAAACTCATAAGTATGGCCATGCTATTGGAAGGCCATGGGAGCTCTCAATTCAACAACGTGAAGCCGGCATTAGATGTGCATCAAGATTCATGTCACTGGGCCGGACAAGTGTGATTAAAGAACAAAACCGAGAGATAGTTGTTGTTGTTTTTGTAGTCTTAGTAATCCCTACGCTCCCTATGTTGTGGTCATGTTCAATTTTCCTCCGTTGGAACGGCTCTCCTGACTGTCGCCCCGTCTTTCTGGTCTACCTCTCAAAGCACATATCTGTACATGGGATGATCGTCGCCCTTGTCCGCAACTTCAGCCGGAACGTAGTCCAAGTCACTCTTACCATACTTCTCGTCCCGCTTCTTGTTCTGGAATCTCAAGCATAGGCTAAGAACAGTAGCCAAAGCAGCAGCAGCGAATAAGATGCCGGCGCAAGTCCACATGCCCTTCGCGTACCACGGCTGGTCCGTCTTGGGAAACAAGCGAGCACCCAAGATCGGACCGCATTGACCTACCATACCGAAGATCGCCAGTCCAGCACCACGCTTGGATGCTGAGCCTTGATTGTCAGTCACCCAAGTGAAGGTAAGGGCAACAGCTGGGAAGACTCCTGCGCACACGAGGAAGGTCGCAAAATAGCGAACCCCGTGGTGTGGATGGTGGCTAGTAAAACATATCCAACAGCTCCAGTGCAGCAGAAGAGAACGATGAAGACCCCAAGAGTTCTGAACCGATCAGAAACGAAACTCGCCGTGACGCAGACCACGTATGCGGCCAGATAAGGACAGGCAGAAAAGCCTTGTGCGTGTAGCGAAGTGTATCCCATGGCCTGGAGAATCGTAGGAAGATATGCTGGCAACGAGCCGAAAGCGGTGTTGAGACAGAAAATGATCATTGCCTGCAAGTAGTTCTTGTAGTCGTAAAAAGCAGCAAAGGCCTGCTTGAAGTTGAGCTTTCCTTCTCTCTTCTCACCCCTTCCCTTGAAAGCGCGATGACTGATGATTTCATTTTGTCGGGGGGTGAGAAACCGGCACTCTGAAGGCGAGGGTGGGAGATAGAAGTAGGCTACTATGGCCAGGAGAATCGTTGGGGAACCCTCTACGAGAAGTTTGGTCAGCTTCACGGGGGAAAAAAACAGTTGCAATGGCCTTGGCTTACCAACAAGAAACAAGAGCTCCCAATTGGGTATAGACGACTTTGCACCGACAAGACCATACGCCAGTGCAGATGTGAAGCAGCTGGCTAGGGGAGAGAAAGATATGAAGAGACCGTATCGAAGCCCCATCTCCCCTCGGTGGTAAAAGAAGGTCATGTATAAAGCAACAGCCGGCACAAAACCAGCCTCAAATGCTCCAACGAGGCTTTCATCAATCGTCAGCTATATTGCCCAACAAAATAAGTTGAGATAACTCACAAGCGCAGTGCCATGATTCCCGCAAAGTTATGGGTAGCGGCCTGAAGCATACTCATGGAGCCCCAACCAATTGCCATGAGTGCTGTCCAGAGTGGCAACGGGACGAAAGTCCATGCCAGAATGAGCTTTAGAACGTCAGCGGATTCAGTGACCGTTGAGAATGTGTGCGGACTCACCCAGTGGAACAAGATGTAACCAATGTACAGGATTGTGACGATCCAAGAATAGTCTTCAGATGTAATTCCCCATTCCTCGCCCATGCCGGCCGTGTAGGCATTTCCAACATTACCTCGATCTATGTAAGAAACAAGGTACAGAGCGCCCAGTCTATGTTCAATCAGTAAGTGATACGAGCAGAACCTATTGGTGACTTACAAGGGAATCAGATTCCAGTCCAACTTCCTGAGAGCTTGTCCCTCTTCTTCTTTCGACCACGTGGGAGCAGTCTGTCCCTCGATCTTCATGGTCTCATTGAATTCATCACCCTCGACGTGAACAGCGTGATCGCCGTGCTCATTCTCGACTATTTCTCGCTTGTGTTCCCCGTGTGGTTTTGATGCTGCCATTGTTGCTGACAGGGGCATATTGTCTGAAACGTACTCTGGCTCGATAATATGTGAGATTCAAGGAGAACACCTTGACATGGAAGCCGGTGGGATAAACACGAGTGAAGCATGAACTTATACTCAAATGGTATTCTGTCAAAGCGACCGGCCCAACGGATAGTTGAGGCCTGTTAGACGACAACGCAAGAGCCAAGGACACAGATCGCACTATGGAGACGACCCCACGGGGAAAGGTCCCGTCACCTTGTGGAGGCGAACGCGTGGATACGAAGGGGCAAGTCAAGTCAACCTGGTCAAGGAAAGGTCGGTATCAATGCCGACGCCTCGACTGTAATGTTGTGATTCAGGGGTACCACTGATTCAGGTACATGATTGCAGCATAGGATCCATCAGTTGCCTTCGAAGAGAGCAGTAACATTAGCAGACATCTTCTCAAGAATTCAGCTATCTAGGCAGATCACTATATCTATTATCCGTATCACTCTTACTGTTTTAATTAGTTTCTTAGGTACTTATACTACAAAGCTACTGAACTGGGCACTCACCGATGTGCTTCTTCCCTTGCTGTGAAACCCCCCATTGGGCGGGCTCAAAACTTCTTCAAAATACATCTAGTCTAGAGTTCCTGCTTTCACAGACTTTCCTACCTAACTATCACCTTCGCCGCTATTATCGCCTTTATGTTATTAACATACCCTCCCTATTATTAGGCCTCCTTTAAATAAGACTATGTACATGTTCACGTATTGTTAAATCTTACTGCTAGTTTACATATCTTGAACTCTGGCCTCCTTCTAGCTATATGGCTACATCCTTTATGTTGTTATTATTATCCCTGCACATCACACTATGATTTTACATGCCTTCTAAGGCTTTGTACATATGGTTCCTCAACTCTAATTATTATCTAATGGCCTAGTTGAATGGCTGTTGTACCTTATGACCAGCATATTAAATCATTAGATGTGATCTAATTTATGACACTAGTTCCACCTCCTTTCTGCGGAAGGGCACATCCGAGCCCTATTCCATATGACAGTCGAACTTTTATTGAGCGGAAGTATGATGCTAAGTCGCTACACTGAGAGATGCCGAAGTATGTGGCGTTGGGGACAATGCCGAAGTTCATTGAATATGCCGACGCAGACCCCGCATTTCGGAAAGTGATACCGAGACCACCACCCGCACAACCGCGGGTTCACAGAGGCCAAAACGAAAGATTGCACCGACGTCGGAAACAACTGAACGATATGAACTGTGGAGAGAGTCTTAACCTCTCAAATTCGTGGTATTGTTGCCGATTGCCGAGGGAAATCCCCATGTGACTTCTCGTGGAGACCCGGAGGAGTGTATACAGCATTTACACTTACTACTGACGTCTCAACACCGGTTTTATCGACCATAGAAGAGGCACTGTTATCCTCACACAGAAGCTTTGCGTCTTTGAAAAGCTTCACACCATCAGGCATCGTATCGACGCAGTTCATCTCCCAGCACAGCGAACATGCCAGCTACTATCAACGGCTCAGACGAGCATCAGCTCGTCGATGAGTTCATCATTCTCACGCCGAATGCCATGCTCGGCTATGGATATGACTCAGATCACTTCTGGTATGGTATCGAGAAGTATAAGCCTGCAGCAATCATTGTCGACAGCGGCTCTACAGATGGCGGTCCCTATAAGCTCGGCATGAGCAAGATGACCTGCGGACGAGGCTCGTATGTTCGAGATTTGGAGCCAATACTCGAAGCATGCTTTCACCACAAGATCAAGGTCCTCATTGGATCCGCTGGCGGTGATGGCAGCAACAAGCATGTTGCTGAGATGCTCGACTTGGTGACGGAGATCGCGGAACGGAAAGGCTACTCATTCAAGGTCGCCACGATACAGGCCGGTATGGACCGTGAGTGGATTAAGTCGAGGATATCACAGAATCGCGTTGGTCCTTGTGGTCCGGTCGAGCCCCTTCTTCCCGAGGTGGTGGACGGTGCTATAGACGTTGTTGCTCAAATGGGTTCTGAACCGTAAGTAAAGGCTTCAATAGGCAAAGGGCTGTCACTGACAAAACGAGCGAAGTTATCTGGAGGCTTTGAAAGAGAACCCTGATATCATCATTGGAGGGCGGTCTTATGACCCAGCCCCGTTTGCTGGTTTCTCGATCGCCAGAGGAGTACTCCCAGATGTAGCTTGGCATATGGGCAAGATCATGGAGTGCGGCGGCATCTGCGCTGTCCCGAAAGGGCGGTCGATGATCGCAACGATGAGAAGGGACTCCTTCGACCTTACTCCGCTGTCCCCGGCGGAGAGATGCACTCCTCTCTCGGTCGCTGCGCACACCTTGTACGAAAAGACTCGCCCTGATCGTCTCCCAGGACCTGGAGGCGTTCTAAACCTGGACGGGGCGAAGTACGAACAAGTTACCCCGAAGACTTGTCGAGTGTCCGGCGCCAAGTTCGAAACAACGCCTTATCAGGTCAAGCTAGAGGGTGTCAGTCATCTGGGATACCGTACGATCTTCATTGGTGGCATTCGAGACGCCATTCTCATCGACCAGATCGACAACTTCCTCGAACGCGTCCGAGTGTACTCGCAGAAGCTATTCCCGGGGCTGGACAAGTCTGAGCAATGTCAACTTCTGTACCACGTATACGGCAAAGACGGAGTGATGGGACCCCTGGAGCCGGTTCAGGCAGGCCCACACGAGATCGCCGTCCTCGGCGAAGTGGTTGCTCCGACCTCAGAGCTGTCTCACACCATCGCCAACAACGTTCGCGCTTCCATCTTGCACTTTGCGTATCCCGATCAAGTTGCGACGACGGGAAACTTTGCCAGCCCCCTTTCACCGCACGAGCAAGATGCTGGAGCTGTCTTCAAGTTCAGCCTCTATCACCTGGTGGACTTGGATAACGGTGAAGAGGCCTCCATCTTCCCGATTCGCACTCAGACGATTGGATCGTCGCAAGCATCTCCTGAGCCAGTCACTCACCTCTCTTCTGATGTTTTCAGCAAGATCGATGACGGAGAGCTCACCCCCTTGACCTCGAAGTCTGTTCCCCAAGAAGAGGCGGCCTTGAGTCAAGTTGCACGCATCATCCGATCAAAGAACTCCGGTCCATTCGAGATGACTTTCGATGTCATGTTTGACGACGAATCAGTTTACAGGCGTGTCAGGGAGGCTAACGTCTTCACCAACGAGACCATCAAGAAGCTCTACCGTGTCACGGACGACGATATCCTGACTAATATGTACTTCGACCCTGCCCTCGCCTGGAAATGTACCATCAAACGGCCATGGGCTCAAGGCAGCGTCGGCGAGCGCGACACTCTTGGAACACAGCAACATGCACCACTACTTGGAATTCGCATACCTGCGGCGAAGGCTACCGTTCAGTCCAAGCCTAACGGCGTCGCTGTGGCTTCCAGCAAAGTCATACCCCGTGAAGGCTTTTCAGCTCAGGATGTTGTCCAGGAGATATGGAAGGGGCTTAAGCTCCCTGCGGAAGCCCTCAGCGCGCTCAATCTTGAGAATGACGGCGGACCAACCCTGCCCTCGTCCTTCAAAATTGGTGTCCTTGCTCAGAGTTCCATCGCCTCGTCTGCACTTGCAGCAGCTCAGATCCACGCCTTGCGTAACGAATCTTCTGTGCCTGCCGTCGATGTTCCCCTCGAACACGCAACCGTTGAGTTCAAGTCCGAAAGACTCTACATCCTCGATGGGAAGCCAACCCCTTCCCCCTGGGGCCCCATTGGAGGTCTGCACAAGACATCTGACGGGCATGTTCGAGTCCATGACTCGTTTCCGAATCACCGGGATGGCATCCTCGATCTTGTTGGCTTACCTCATAGCTCAACCAGAGAACAATTGTCGGAGAAGCTGTCGGAATGGGCCAGTATTGATGTCGAAACTGCTGCAACGGTCGATGGCAAGCTAGCGACGTATGCCTTGAGATCGTATCGACAATGGGATGCCCTTCCTCAGTCCAGAGCCATCAGCAATTTCCCCATCGACGCCACTCAACTATCTCCCGAAGGGCCCGCCGGCTTACCTGCAAGAATGAGAAGCGGCAACACGAAGTGTCTCCAAGGCCTCCGGGTAGTCGAGATGAGCCGTGTCATAGCCGCTCCCCTATGCGGAAAGACGCTCGCGGCGCATGGCGCGGACGTAATCTGGGTCACCTCACCAAACTTGCCTGATCTTCCGACCATGGATCGGGACTTTGGCCGTGGCAAGCGGACAGTTCAGCTCGATGTCCACAACCCCTCTGACAAGGAGAGATTGATCGAGCTGATCAAGACAGCGGACGTCTTTATTCAGGGCTTCCGTCCTGGCAGTCTTGCCAGCCACGGCTTGTCACCTGAGGAGATAGTCAAGATAAACCCCTCCATCATCGTCGCCAACATGTCGGCATTTGGGCCACAAGGACCTTGGTCTGGTAGGAGAGGCTATGATTCGCTTGTGCAGACCTGCTCGGGGATGAACGTCTCCGAGGCGGAGCACACTGGAAAAGGGGAGGCAGCGCGTCCAACGCCATGCCAGGCACTTGATCACGCCGGCGGATACTGGCTCGCGACTGGTGTAATTGCTGCTCTGTACAAGCGAGCAACTCTGGGGGGCTCTTGGCGCGTAGACGTCTCTTTGGCAGGTGTAATGAAATACTTGCGGAGCTTAGGACAATATCCTGGCGCGACAGGCTTCGAGGTCAAGGACTACGAAAAGCCAGAGGATGTTCGGAATGAGCTTTTCGAGACGAGGGAGACGGGTTTCGGCTCCATGACGGCCATCAGACACAGCGCACGTGTTGATGGGGTCGAAGTCGGCTGGGACGTGATGCCGAAGCCTTTGGGTTCTGATTCCCCTGAATGGATTCATTAAAGTTCACTTAAATGTCTGGAAAATGCGACAAATTTACCGAAATCTAGTTTAGGATAAGATCTCACTTCCATATAGAATCATTCGAGAAGCTGTGTTGTACAACAGAGTTCGAAGAAAGCGGGAGTATGATCTTCGTGTGGTGAGTCAGAATATTGACCCAACACGACCAACAAAGGGGAGAGAACTTTGATATCAGTCGCGTGTCTCAACTTAGCGGTATTGAAGCTTATGGCAGTTGAAACTGACTTGAAGCCGCGAGGACTGAAATCTCCTTGTATTAAGATTCTACTGGAACAACTGGACCATGCCCTTGTCGCCTCTAGCGGCATAGGGTCCTGGCTGAGAGGAGAGAGGACGCAAGGAGTTGTATTTTGGAACCAGAACTTTCTGTTCAGCGGCTGTTACTACTATTCCACGATAATTCGAAACCTAAATCCCTGCCCATTTCTCGGAAGAGTCTGCCAAAGAATCAGGAAATAAGCCAATGGGTATTGATCACGGTTAACCTGACACTTGATGATGCGCTCTTACACTCAATATTTTAGATTTAGGCTAAGTCTTAGGAAGAATATGTCACTTGCCACCTTCGGCGCCTATGTTCCTAATTCGAACATCAAGCTACCGGAATCTTCCCCGTATTCGGTCCCAAGCGTGCTTCCTTGGCCCCTTCCTCCAGTCCCCGCCAACCCATCTGCTTCGTTTTGACAACTAAGCTTCTCCGCGCCTTCGTTTTAGGACCCTAAGCTTAACCGGCAAAGCGGCAAACACATTCCTATTCTGTTATTGTGGACCTTTCTCTCCGCAAAGATGTCACAGAGATCTGGGCGCGCGGAAATGCTTCAATGAGCAAGTTTACGTGGCCGCCGCAGCACCGGCCATCCGCGCGGAAACGCCCACGAATCAGCATCATCGCCGACGGAGCTGCGGGATGAGTCGTTGCGGCTACACTGTGTCAGCCACGAGTCGACACGAACCCGAGCCCTTGGATGCGGCGGCGGCGATACCGAGCGAGTGGTGACTGATTCGCGCGGGCCACGTACATCTCCCGCTGCGGGGTCCAGCACACATTCAATGCGTGGACGCCGTGGACGCTAAGCTTTTGCCAGTTGAGACTGTTGACGCCTGCCATTTGTCATAGCGGCGTCTTCATTATTACAGATGGAGGCGACAAGATGCCGAGGACTTGGCCGAAGAGAGTGGGGATGAACGATCGTCGGCGTCTACATCGACAAGGAACTCAAGAGATCATACATCATACGGCGATCCCCCGGAGACTATTCTTGTCGCATAAATGCCACCTGAAAATTGATACCCGAAGTACCCTGAGATCAACATATTGAGAGTTGGTGCGTTCAGGTTTTCCACGGTTTTCCGAGCTGTTCCTGCTAACAGAGTTTGGTTATCGGGTTCCTACTATTACTTTTGAGACTTGGTATTGCTCTTATTCAAATAGGCCGGTGCGATAGGGCGTTGCCAAAACCTCCTCAACGCGTGTTAACGCCCGTCTGCCTACGGCCGTCCTCGTCCGATCCCTTCGGTTTTAGCGTTTAACTCAAGCTTTCCAGTTTCTGTCACGCGCCGTGCCCAAGAAGATGGGAACTCACATGGTAGTCCCTGGAATCGAGGCACGGCGAGGCGCTTGTCCCATTAGTTCGGATTCCTCGCAACCCAGTCTTCGCTATCGCTTGTCTGTACGATTCTCAGCAGCCAGAACTCAACCCGGGGCAGCCATACTTGCCCGTGCCGCTCCGACAGAGCTCCGATATCTCCTTGAGATTTTGCCGGCGAGGGCGGCTGTCCCACCCATTTCGTCTGAAGATTCATGCCGTTCGTAGGCAATGGTGATCCTCTCGTCCTGGCCACCCTCTGGTAACCTCCGTACGCCTGAGAACAACAAAACCTAATAAATTTGCTCAACAGCCACATGGGCTCACTTGGTCAGGTGCTCACGTCCAATTACTCTTGACATCGACCACGGTGGCGCAGAAAGGTGTGGCATAACACCAGCAGTCGGAGACATCGCTTTTTAGTTTCTGGCTACTTCGTCGCCTATTGACTTTGCTCTAGAGCGGAACGACTGTCCGTCTGATGCTCGTAATCTTCTGCAGGTTGAGAGCATCTGTTCAATGTGCCCCTCGTTTACACTAGAATTCTGATTTAAGCTTGTTCATGTACCTTTAATCATGTTCGGACTTCAGACCAGGAACCGCAACTTTACCCCGAATGAATGTTCTTGCCAATGCGATTCGCAAGACATCAATTCTACGTCGAGCAAGGAGACGACAATCGAAGTTGTTCACATAGCGTCTGCACAGAAGATCTGACCGGCCATCAGTATCGTGTGTTGATGAAGAAAGAAGCTTTTCTGAAATACGCACTGCCGCCGTCAGCCTGGTAGAATCACACAGACCGCACTGGACACTTGCGGGTATCTCAGGCCAGCTCCTGCGCCGGACATGAGCACATTCTTCCTACAAGTAAATATTTCCAATGAACATGAACCAGTCGTCTACCGCGTGTAGCAAGCTTCCAGTGCGCCGAAAATACCAGCAGAGTTCCCTGACTCCAGGGTCCATGCCGAGAGACAAGTTGAGTAGGGCGCACGGAGTAGTGGCGGCGACCGAGACCGAAGCGGCCGCTCATGTCACAGTCCCAGTCTTCGTTGACGGGGGACGCTGCCCACGAATCAGGCACGATGCCGACTGGACCAAGACGTTGGGTCAGGTGCCAGGGGTGCGGTCTCTTATGCCCTGTTGCTGTCATTGATGAACGACGTTCGACGTGGACAGAGCCACTTCGGACTGAAGAGGGGTAAAACGTACTCACTTACGCGGCTATCAAGGCGCATCTGGAACACCGTCGGCTTCCTAGAACGGCATGTAAGTCGCTCATCTTTAAGCCGATTTCCCGTAATTTCCGCTTACGATCAAAACTGCAACCAAATGTGCTGATTATTCATCAGGAATTACTTGCTTGTAACTATCGGTGCTTTTAGAGGAGGCCATATTGTAAGCTGGCTCTGGTCCGAGCAAGTCATCGGGAGGCATAGTTGAACCAACGCAGAAATTGGCCTTCTATGCATCATAGTATTGATTACAACACATGAAGCTGTGATACAGGAGTTAAGCATGCCTTACTCCGAAGTTGAGATGAGTGAATGGCACGCTAGATTGTTCACTGTGAGAGTATAGAGTGAGGCGTACTAGGCGCTAGAACGTCCTACTTTCCCCCACGTTGGTCCGAAATAAGCATAATACCAAACGCGCTACTATAGCAAACAGAACAAGTTTACTCTGCTGCCGAGGGGACTTCGGCCGACACTGAAAGCTTATTCGGCAAAGTGGCCGACCCTTAGTCAGGGAGCTCCTGGTCCAACGTCCCATCTAGACCTTACTCGGACCCTGTCCCCTACGGATCGACGATGCATGAACGTTGCCCTGCTCTGCCAGATCTGCGGTCGTTCAACTCGGACTCGGTGATGGCCTTCTGACTTTGACTTCGTTGGTACGGGGTTGGAAGAAACAGGCCGTCCCAAAGCATAGCGGGCGCCTTTCCTGTTCCTGTCGAAATGGAAAAAAATAGCCGGCTGCATGATGCAGCGAGAAAACTTGCGCAAGACATCGCGGGAAGCGGCATTAGGCTGGTCGACTAAGGCACAACGGCACCTTCTTTCTTTGTATAAAGACGTCCGTTCTCTCGCCCTAACCGGTGGGAGTTTTCCTTGTTCATCAGCTTACTTCCTCTATCAACTTATATCATCAATCTTATTCACTATCTTGAGTAATAGCTTCTAGCTACCACACTACCACACTACTACAACCAACTCAATACTCTACTGTCTCTTACACAAACCACAACAACCGCCAACATGCGCTTCTTCACTACCGTCGTCCTCGCTACCATCGCTGCCAGCGTCAGCGCGCTTCCCGTTGCCCACGAGGCAGACATCACTCCCGCTCTTCCCCAGGGCATCGAGGAGGCCGCTGTTGAGCCCATTGAGGCCAGAGCCAACGGCAAGCCGAACACCCCTGCGGATGTCAAGAAGCACGACGACAACCACGAGAGACAGCGTGAGGGCAAGTGCGGCACGGGCTGCAAGGATTCCCTCGCTTCGTACCACTCTCAGGCATCCAAGGACTCGAAGAACTCTAAGGCCTCCAAGGCCTCTCAAGCTTCAAAGAACTCCCAGAAGTCTAAGGGTGGCCGTGATCTCAGCGCCGTTGAGGCGACCGAGGCGGAGGAGATGGAGCAGTAAATGTGATTGGAGGTTACAAGAATATCAGGAGTTACATGGAGTATTAGATCGGGGAATAGCGCCGGGATATATAAGTCTTCTGGGTAGTAGCTGTGCTATATAAGACAATGAACGAAACATTTTCCAATTGAATGAAGGTTCTCTGTTTGAATAGCCGATACGAAGTTGACAGCAGTTGTATGTCTCATCAGTCCGTCAAACATCATAAGATGATAAAATATAACATGTAAGTTTGTAGTTCTAGTCTTCGCGGTCTTGACCGTGGCAGTTCACCACTGTTAATTTAACGCGCTGTTCCCCGAGAGGCGGCGAGAGATTGTGGAGGAGAGCAAGCAGGCTATGGCCCGCAGGGACGGCGGCGGCGAGGGTGACCAAGATGACGTGGCATGGGTGCAGTGATCTGCTGTTAGTGGACTCAACGTATGATGTTCAGAGAGTGTTCTCTGGTAGGGGTTTACCAATATGTTATGTATGTTGGCTCTTGATATCCTATGCTTCGCCGTGTCTAATCGGCCTCATCTCTGTAATAGTGTGAAAAACATGCTAAACAGAAGGCGAACTCTCGCAATTGAAAACAGGCCTTTCCTTCCATTGAGTTTTCCGCACCTTGTCTCCCAGGTCCTTTGCACACAGCGCCGCCTCGTTTAGAAACCCGTGAACCTGCCCGGCTTCAGGTGCCCATAACTGTCCCCAAAAGTACAATTGCCTGGTCGCAACCTTCAATTCACCGATGCCTACGGTAAGCTAACCCTAATGTAGTGACTAGTCCTGTTTGTCATGGCGACCGAAGCATTGGACGGCTTGATATTGATGGCCGGGGGTCTGTCAGAATAGGTCGCTAGGTCAGCAGTCTCGTCGGAAATCAGTTCTCGAGACCCCAAACGGGCTGCTACTCACCCCACGCAGATGTAGCCCGTAGTGGCATTCAAGCTGGCACACTGAATGTACAGCTTTGGGTTCCACTCGACCAGGCTCTCCCGCCCCGCGCAGACCAGTCCTGGGGGACCACGGCGAGGGACTCGGAGGAGGACGTCGGGCTGGGTAGGTAGGGCGGCGGGCTCGTGTAGGCGTAGCCACTAGCCACGCAGCTGGAGGCCGACTTGAACTCGTCGGCGCGGCTCTCGGTGTGGCCGATGGGCGAGTTGACCTCCAGCTGCATGGGCCCGAGGATACAATCGTCGCACTGCCGGGGCGCTGAGTTGGTATCATTGCGCCATTCGCCCGGCACGTAGTCGCTTGGTAACAACGGACAGTGTCCAGCGCCGTATTGCACATCAGAGACCGAAGAGGGTTGCGGTCCTGACGAATGGGGCTCGGATCTGCCCAACGACGAGTGCGAGGATGACGACTGCGAACACGATGAGCTCCGCAGAGATGTCATTGCTGCGCCCCAAGTCGTTTCGCTGGCTGATGTTATCTCCGAGGAAACGACAACCCTCCAGGCCAAGGATAGGAGACGAAAGTTCGATATAAGTATGTTCAACTTTCTGAATATTATTGAGGCGATGACCATCATAACCAGAGAGTATCCTGGCGCGGGCTCGCTCCTTGACCAACCTGGGGCCTCGGACAACGTATTCCAGTAAGCAACCTGCCTCCAACACCCTGCTCAGAGGTACTTCATAGCCTCAGTTCTAACACAACTACCCATTCAATCAGGCAGGATGCTGGCTGTCATAGCCCTGATATCCTTGTCACTAAATACGACACAAAAGCAACGAAGGCGCAGACAGGGAAGTGGCTCGACACAGAGCACAACCCAGATGTAAGCATTTCAGCCATCCTCCCCTAACCGATCCAAGTCAAAACATAGTCGAACCTTCAGCTAACAGGCGGAAAACAGCTACAATTCACGCCTGATTTAATGAAATTTCTCTCATCCGGTATTCTGTCGAATGGAAAGCAATCTGTCTTCTCGCGGATAAATGCCGATGACATAAAAAATACTGGAAAAAGAAGTTTCCTAAAGGCACTTTTCCGAGGGCGGGCAAAAGCCAGACTCTCTATACACCAGAGGACTACTTCCAAGATCAGTTCGGCTCTATCGGAAACCGAGCGCCAATGGTTCTCTGCGAGAAGAAACTGAACAACATGAAGGGCAAAATATTCGGGTTTGAAGACCCGGTTGCCCGCAATACAATGCGAGACTTGCGCGATGGGGCTTTGACTGGTGATATTTCTGATCAGGATGAATTCTTTAGAGGGATCGCCAGAGTAAGCTTTTACCGCTATCCAGAATCCACACGCCCGCGAAAGCTTGATACTGATGTATTCACTGTAGGCAATCTCGGTGTTCGTCTACCTGAACCACCCTGACGTTTTACCAACGGTCCAAGGCAACCGGCAGAATCTGTTTAATGCAGCTCGTCTTCTTGCCATGTTGATCATTGAGTTTGCGAACCTGGAATATCTTGTCAGGGAATTTGATGACGCTTGGTACGAAGAAGCAGCCAGGCGAACCCGTGCTTGGGCGGAAGAGATGCTGGACAGTATACAAAACGCCCTCGCTCCGCTTGTACTCTCCGGCCGGGCACCACCAAACATGGCTGCCATTTACGCCGCGATAGCAGCCCTGAGAGGTCGACTGGGTGACATAAAGGCGCCGCCACGTAAGTAGCAGGCAGTATTATTGAATAGACCCGCATTGTGGCTTGAACCAGCCCGGCCAACTTTGGCTCCCAAATTAGTCGGTTGATTCAGCCGCCTCGCGATGTTTGGTTGGTTGGTTGTATGCTATTTTGCAGCAAGGGTCGGGGACTAGCAGACAGGTCAGCAAAAGACAGCCAGCAGAAGGGCTAGTAGTTGATGAATAACACGCTGATGAACAAGTCCAAAACTCTTAATCCAGTTCCAATATCGCTTTTTGCCCACCAATCAATCAGTCCTGCCAAAATCTCATCAGAGACCTCTTCAACTAGGCATCGATCTGCCCCTGCGAGGATAGATCCCGGGTGGGCGAAAATAGGAATCTTCGTCATCCAAGCCGTTTATCCCATGAAGCTGTTCGTACAGGCCCGCCACGTAAAGAGCGCTGCAATACATCCACCCAACATACCTGCGATCGCTGCCGTCAATAGGGGGATAGCCGCGATCGTACTGGTCCTCTTCGTCGTCCTCCTCGTCGTCCTCCTCGTCTTCATCCTCATCCTCATCCTCACTCTCTTCCTCGTCATCCTGCTCGTTATCACCATGCTCTTTGTCATTCTCTTCCTTTTCTTTCAAAGCCTTACGAATGTCGAACTCGTCCTGGGTGCCATTTGGTGTCCAGGTTCGATCAACGATAGCAAAAACCATTGGCGGCAGTTCCGATAAGAACAACGCTGTGCTGTCGTTTGCTTCCTGGAACTGGATGATAGTGTTGAGGCACTGCTTGTCGACATAAAGACAGTATCGGAAACGGGGCATCTGGATAGGAAATATGTTCAGGTAGGCCTTGGTTGGGAACATGGGGACGTTCTGCTCAGACACCCATTGATTAAAGTGTTTCCTAACTTCAACCCGGGAGGCGTTGTTAAGGGTGGCGCGGTCCTCGTTAACGACCCAATCCAAGTACTGCTCAAGTAGCTCAGCGCGTTGGTACTCAACGAGTTGGTAATGGCAGAAGCTCTTAAGCTGCGCGAGGTAGCGGTTCCAGAGTTCGTCGTCATCGTATGTACAGCGGTAGATAACGAAGCCCCACTTGTGGATTCCGGTGCTGAGCATGCTGAGGCAGGTGCGTTGGTAAGCGTCTCGTCCGTAAGCGGAGAGGTGAGTAGGGACCTCGTCGAGCGTGCGAGCCTTAAAAGGGTCTGGTTCCATGTTGTGTAGGAGCTGGTGGAAGAAAGGTTTATGAGTGGGAGAGAGAAGGGATTTAGAAGTTAGGTGCGGAGGTTATAATTTATACCTAGGGGCGTTAGTCAGCCTATGTAAGATGGCCACAGACAAGCCTCCCTACGCTTCTCTTGCTCAAAAGAAATATTCGAAAGAGTCAACTCGAGGCAAGTATCTAAGACTAAGAGAATATCATGACAACAGCAACAAATATTCAATGCTGCCCTACGTGGTGTTTATGGTCAGATTATGTGCGATATTTCTTACTGACAGTTCATGCCGCCTGGCTAGCAGCAAGACATGGCATTCCGCAGTTAGCCAATTGTGATAATTACCAGGATGAACGCCGGCTAAGTCGTAAGCATTGGTCGGCAGGCTGAATGGACTGTGATGGCTGTATGTTCGAGCGTCGCCTAGCCCGGCGCGAGTTAAGCAGTCATTACTGCCACTTCCATCTAGAAATCGCGTCCAACTCGCGTTCATTCATCGTCATCATGCTGACCCGGCGGAAGACCAGGAAAATACTCGGCACAGGCGCGAGTGTTCTGTTTATAGCATGCAATATAGTCTTCGTGGTAGTGCGTATCAATTCCGCAAAGGCGCTTCTTCATAAAAGGGCTGAAATTACATACTGGCGACAACGTACGGCTACCGTTGCTACCGTTATTGAATGCGGGGGGCATGGCGTTGTGATGGACGTACGTTCAGTCGATGGAACCAGCGTAGACTGACCCGCGCCGGATACCGCAACGATGCACTCACAATCGAATGGTTCAGATATCCACCAGCTAAGCGCTAGGACCCATCTGGTGAGTGTCTTCAACTTCAATCATGACACCACTTATGCCTGTTTCCGAAGTCTGGGATGTTGCCTGGAGCCGTGAGCGACATGAAATTCAAAGACAAATTTTATAAAAACCTCCATCTTGTCTGCCGATTCTCATCACAACAGCCGGCAAAACATTGATTACATACAACAACGGGCATTCGCCGGTCGTCACCGACCCGACTACTACTCCGTCCCTCATTGGCTTATCTATGGGAGAGCGGACGGGATCCCGAGTTTTCCAATGGGTATGGTCGTATGTGCTGTGAAGGTATCGTGAGGTTGCTTATGTCCCAAGCCAGTGCGGTGGTGAAGTCGATGTCTAGGCAGCTGAGCGTTGCATATGACGTTGCGAGTATACTCTCTCATTTAATTCAGACTTTGATTTGTAATCGTGTGATCTCATATATGTTCTAGAACTTTGGGCTTGAGTTGAGATGCAGGAAAAATTTGTGTGTTGTTCTCATCTAATGGGCAAGAGGCATTGCGTTTGAGGCTTCAAGTGAGCCTTCATGTCAACCTAGGTCGCCAGAAATTCCGAGACACACCTTCCCGTCTTGAACTGGTCTTTCATTTTTGAAAACCACTGCCTGAGTCGAACTCATATGTACCCATTTCTGCAGATTTAACAATTCCACTTAGTGTTCTAATATATTCCAATGGTAGCCGTTGTGTGTTGGTGAAGAAGAGTTGACGTGATAGGAGGGATGCGCGCTGAGGTAAGATCGCCAGGGGTGTACCCCGCCAAAGCACCCCCACCACAGCGCATCCCCTTGACCTTCCAAGGCACCAGCCTGCGCACCTTGACGTAGCCAGCCAAGCAGATTTGAACAGCCGGGATTCCGTGTAAACAACAAAAAAGCAGGAATCAATCAGCCAAGCAACGCGCGCAGGCAGACAGGTAAGCCGTCCTCAATTCTGTACAAAAGTCTCAGCCTTTCGAAGAACCATTGCAACCATTCCCCATCTACCCTTTCCCACCTCAACTCCGGACATCACCTTACCCAGGAAACTCAACTGAACCAACTCCAAGGAAAAAAGCAAAGCACCCCACTACCCACTTACTCACTCTCCGACTACAACCACAACTCCCGACACAATGGCTCCCCCTTCCCAGCTCACGGTCGCGACTCTCTCCGTCACCCGTCTCCTTAAGGAGGAGATCTCCTACGAGAAGGAGCTTATCCAGCAGAAAGCTAAGGTCGCGACGCTGGAGGCTGAGATCAAGGAGGGCAAGCCCGATGAGGACGGCAACCGGGAGTACATGCTCAAGCAGCTGGTTCGTCCGCCTACTGCCCCTCTCTGCCTCAAGTATTCTTACTAACGTCCACACAGAAGCTCGCTGTGGAGGAGACGGAGAAGGTCTTCCCTGCGTTGCGCACGCGCGTCGAGGACGCGACCGTCAAGTTGGAGGAGCAGATTGCCCTGGCTGAGAGCGGCGGCGCCACTGAGGACGAGCTGGCCACAGCCAAGCTGGCCCTATCGAAGGGCAAGGAGGAGAAGACATACACTGTCGACGTTCCCACGGCCTCGGCGTAAGGCAGTTGGCCTCATGATTTGTGTGTATTAATGAATCCGGCTGGGGACCGCGTTGTGATCAAGGGCAGGCAGGCGTCATGAAATCCGCAGCTCGCGTTAATGGGTATCTCAATTGAGAAGAATCATTCCTCAAAGCTAAACTATGCCGTGCCGTCTTTTTGTCTAATTGTCAACCTCCATGTCTAATTGTCAACTTCCATGCTGTCCGGTGCATCCACTGTGATCTGAGGTGTGTCGCCTCCAGAAGTGACTTGGGTGTCTTGCCGGTCGTCCATCTCAACATCCTCTCCCTCCTCAATCTCGTCATCATCAGGCTGGGGACGAGGCGTGCCGCCTTGGCTTGGTACGGCGCTTCCAGACCGCGAGAAGCTTCCCAAACCACCAGGTCGCGGCTTCAAACCCTCTGACTGATCCTCCGACTGGCCGTCTTGACCCGGTGTCGCTCTTGAAATGGCGCCACTGTCGGGGTGCGGCGTGACGTTTCCACTAGAGACGTGTCGCGGTGTCTGTCCTCCTCTGGAGGCCTCGCCGTCCTCCTCGTCCTCGTTCATGCCCTCGCGTCTTTCGACTTCCTCCTTCTCGTCACGAATCTGCCGGCGCAGCAACATGCCCTCGTCCATGATCTTGCTGAACTGCTCCTTCCGCTCGCGCCACGTCACACCGTATGTCTCGCTCTCGCGCTCCAGATCCTTGATTTCCTCCTCCAGCTTCTTCAGGTTGGCTTCCTGTTCGACGCGCGGTCGCAGTCCCTTGGCCATCAACGCGTTGGCCAGCTTGTCATACTCCTTACGTTGAGCAAGCGTGGCCTTCGCACCGTCCAGCTGCTCGCGCAGCTTCGTGTTGTTCTCGCGTACGCTCTGCGACTCTGCGAGGATGCGCTTCTGGTCGGCCTCGTAGCGTGCGCGCTCGCGGACGTTGGCGTCGAGGAGGAACTGCAGGCGGGCGATGCTGCTTTCGAAGGCGGCGAAGTCGAGGGTCAGGTCTTCTTTGATCTGGTTGATCTCGCGGGTCTTGCTGGCGGCGGATTCCTCCTTCATTTCGGTGTCGGCGTCCTTCTCGCCATTTGCGCCCTCGGGAGGCGGAGTGGGCTGTTGTTTCGTCTGAGCATTTGCGATGGCGGAGATCGAGGCGAGTCTCTTCGTGATGCGCTTGAAGGGCTTCTCCTCGATATTAACTAGACGCGTCTTGTGGAGTTCCGCCTCCTCCTTGTCGTCCAAAAGATCCCAAGATGACATTTTCTTCGGGTTTGGCCTGATGTCGTGCGAAGTGGAATACTCGGCTCGGATCGCGAAAGCTGGAAGTAGTGTTTTGAAGATGCTTGGCTTTGGATGAAAACAGTAGAAGCCTGCTGAGAATAATACAAGCAGTTTTCAACTTCCAGTATATGACGTGTCTTTAAGGTGTTCCTGAATCCAAGCAGAAAGATCCGTTTGAGGTATGGCTGCAAGCAGGCGAGCGACAGTTCACTAAATTCCAAAGGCAAAAGGTGTAATTAGAGTGCAGCTCTTCACGTTCTTTCCTCAGCCTTGCAGTAGCTTCTTTCCACAGTTGGGATTGGCCATCGGGACGGAAAGACCCACTTTGTGTGTTTCTCCACTAGCCCCCCCAGATCGAGGGCAAAGTCAAAGCGTCTCCTTCCCACCACAGTGATCTCATCCGAATCTACCAACAACATCGTTAGGCTACTCGTCGCAACTACTCCAAGACTGTCGCAATTAACAGCGCTCTCGATACGAAGTTACCACGACAAATCTACTAACCGAGAAAATGACTTCGTCTGAGGAGCAGCAGTTGCTGGCGCGCATCAGCCAGCTTGCCGGTACGAGAACTTTGCAAACAAAACTAGGAAAGCGCTTAATCTGATATGGTGGCAATAGGCAAGATCAACCTTCACAAGGCACAGCAAGCTGGCGTTCAGTCCATTCCCAGTTCCCAGGCATCATACCATCGACGTACGTCCCATCATGCGCCCAGCGGCATCGCGCGACACTCACACGACCCAGACAACCCCCATCGACAAGGCGGCCATCCCCACAGGCATTCCCCGTACCCCTCCTCTCGAAGACCTTCGGGTTTCCGCAACAGATCTCTTGTGGTCAACAACAGTGGAACGCAAACACCGCCTTCCGACTCGCCTACTCCCGAGGCATCTGGCTCGACCGCTTCTTTGGGCTCTTGGATTTCGAAGAACACACCCGGCCAGATGTCGCTAATCAATTCAGCGGTCTACGATAAGACGAACGAAGCCACCGCCAAGGCCATCGAGGCCACTCGACAAAAGAAGCTACTCCAACGGGAGGCGCGCGAAAAATCCCAACTCGCCAACCATTTCCAGCGATACGGCGGACACGCGAGTGCTCCGACAACCCCTACTAACACGACAGCTGTAGGGAACCACGAGATCGAGATTCAGGGATTGCGGTATCGCGTCGCCAACAACGGTAGCAAGCTCGTGAAGGTGTCCGGTCAGTCGCCAACGCCATTTGCCCCTTGGGCACTCGTTGATTATTACACAGGAGACCTTCACCCAGTCAGTGCAACTCCTAAGGTCACATACGTTGGAGGCGTCAAATTCCACCGAAGCAAGAGAGGCAATCTATACCGCGCTGGCGTGCTCAGAGCGCATCGGTATGTCCTCCATCCCACTATTATGCAGACGCTAATCCCGCTTAATATTGCAGCCACCATGGCGTAAAGAAGGTCGACGTGCCTTGCAGCATGTTTTCGCTGACTGGTATTTCATTCACATTCTCACCCGACAACTAGTCATTCATCCGGACAAACTTGGGATCATGTCGCTCAAGTGGGTATGATAGGTATTGGACAACACTAACCCCGCAACTTCTATCTAGGTTCATGCGCGAAAGGCCCTGCTTGCCGATACCAACACGACGCGTCGAAAGTTGCCGTCTGCCGGGAGTTGCTTCACAAGGGAACCTGCGCTCATGAGGAGTCTTGTGATCTTTCCCATGACTTGATCCCTCAGCGCACCCCTACATGTGTTCACTTCATCAAGGGCAACTGTGCGAACCCCAACTGCCCGTATGCTCACTCTAGTGTATCTCCAGGTGCTCTGGTCTGCCGCTCATTCGGCATGTACGGCTACTGCGACAAGGGGGAGAAGTGCGAGGAGCGACACGTTTTCGAGTGCCCCGACTTCAGCAACACGGGCAAGTGTAAAACCAAGGGCTGTAAGCTACTTCACCGCGAGAGGGCAAGCGTCCTCCGGAAGCGCACAGACGACAACGAGATGGAGGATCTGTCTAGCGACGAAGAATCGGCCGACAGCGACGATGTGGACTCGGACGAGGTCGAGGAGTTTATCAACGATCCTGTTGGTGACGACTCTGACTTTAGGGTTCAAAAGGACTTTATCGCTTTCTGATCGTGACCTTGTGCCACTTGGTGAGAGCGGCCGCAATCGGTCCGCCTTCTTTACTGACATGCTTGCTATCTACTCCTGAAGGAGTCTAATCTTGGGGGAAACGGGAAGTGTACCCTTTGAGGAAGCGTGCCTCCTTGAGGGAGGCAACTGGGAAAAGAATAGCGAACAAACGATACCCAAGAAGAGCGAAAGAATTGATACCTGGCACACAAAGAACAACATACATAGAAAGGATAGAGATAATCCAAGAAAGAATTGTGGAACTTGATGAGCTCGAATCTTGGCGTGACAGGCGATCAATGATCAACAATCCCTTAATCATGGATGAGAAGTCGGATAAAATAGTAGGGCAAGAGACTCCATTGATTGAAATCAAAGGTTACAATGACATACCCAGTGCTGGAGGCTCAAAGCCAAGGATTGCAACCTCGCTTGGGCCTCGGACGGGCATCATTTCCGTGTGCGGGCCGTCCCCAGCTGGCTTCGGATGTCTCAATTAAATCAATTAAAATTTCCATTAAAATTTACCCCGCCATCCTTTCGTACCCTGTGGGCTCCTGAAAACAACGCCATTCGATGACATTTCGTGCGCTGACACACTGGAAAATCTCCAACAAGTGCCCCCTCGGTCCTCTCCTCCACTCGCGGCCCCCATTCTGCCCAGCGGCGCTCCTCCGAGTCCAGCGCCACCCGCCGCGTTCAGTGGTTCCTGAGCCTTTGTTCCTTCCGAGACTGCTACGTTCTCTAGACGCTGACGAGGCGCTAATGGAAGGGGGCGATGGGGGGAGGAGGGCCCCGTCAGGCCGATGGCTTAGGTATATCGTAAGGTAGGCGGTTGTGTGGTCGCGCAGAAAGCGCCCTGTTCAGTTTGGTCGCCTTTGAGCTGCACCGCCTTGAAGCTCAGCCCCTCGTCGCTGCACCACCTCCGTCCTGCCTGAAGCTGAGAATAGCACCAAATGTGACGACATTGCGCTCCCACATAAGCAGCTGCTCGTGGCCTCTTGATCCTCCAGCCTTGAGCTCGGTATATCTGATTTCTGCATTCTGTGCCTTCTATTCTCTATTCTTTCCGTTCCGAGACGTGACCCGGACTGCATCCATAGCAGTATACTAATCTTAGGCACCATCATCATCATCATGGGTATACGCGACATCCTCAAGAAAAAGGACAACCTCGACAATGGCGAGCCCAGCAGCCAGGACGCCATGGACAGGCTAGCAGCCCCCGAGTTCAAGTTCATCCGATCAGACACACACTCGCAAGAGGTCATCCACCCGCCAACCGTGTCTGTGGAAAACGACCAGTACCTGAATCCCAAAGACGGCGGCGGCGGCCAGAAGCCGCGACGCAGCCTCGACGTCTTATTCGGCAACCGCTCCCGTAGCCCTTCCGTGTCCTCCCAGGCGAGCTCGAACGGCAACCCGAAAGGGTCCAGACGGCTGTCGGAACGGCTGCACCTCAGCCGGTCGCCCGCCTCCTCCGATAACGTCCCGCAGAACCTGCCCGACATCGTAACCACGGCCGAGGGCGACGAGGCGGCCTGGGAGAAGCGCGCGACAATCCTGGCGTCGTCAAACAAGAGCAGACCGGCGACGCCGTCGCATGATAACGGGCAGGGGGTCGGCGGGGCGAAGGACAGCTCGAATGGCGCTGCCGTGTCGTCGCCGGCCATTGATGAGGATATCCAGGAGGCCATCAGGCTGCATGAGGCAGGGGATTACGAGAACTCGACGGCCATGTTTGCCCGCCTGGCTGATCCAAAAGGGGCTAACAACACCCTCAGTCAGTTCCTGTACGGGCTTGCTTTGAGGTAAGTCTAGACGTCCAGACTGGTCTCGACCCCGCGGCAGGCTTGCCGTCGCCTCCCCGTTCCCATGGGGCGGTCCCATGCCGGCTCGTCGGCCGATCACACTGCATCGGGGTGTTTAGAGGGGGGCGACGGGTGCCACGATGCTTGGGGTGGTGGACGGATCGAGTGACGCGCTTGCTGACTCGGGAATGTTGATAGGCACGGCTGGGGATGCGAGCCCAATCCAGAGGGGGCGATCAAGTATCTGTCGGCGGCAGCATCGAACGCGGCAGCCGTTGAGCAAATGGCGTTGAAGGCTGGGCTCAAGAAGGGTGGCGCTGCCAAGGGAGAGCTCGTTCTGGCCATCTTCGAACTGGCGAACTCGTTCAGACACGGTTGGGGCACGAAAACGGACCCAATCGCGGCCAAGCAGGTTGGTTTCCCCGTCCGAATAGTGGCTCGAGGCGGGAGGAAGAAACCTGCAGAGTCGCCATCATGACCGAAGGGGCGAGGGCTGACATCCAATTGCATGCAGTACTATGAGACCGCAGCGAACCTTGGAGATACTGGTGAGTATGCCCTCATGATGCATCGCTGGGCGTCAAGACAGCGCCCAATGCTTCGTTTCGGGTACGCTAACCAGCCTTGCTTGACTCAGACGCCATGAATGAAGTCGCCTGGTGCTATTTGGAGGGTTTCGGCTGCAAAAAGGACAAGGTGAGTTTTGTCACATATCAGTTCTTGCTTGGAGATATTACGCATCTCGGCGTCGGCAAAACAGGGACGGGAGACGGCATCTCTGGGGAAACTTTGAACGAGCCTCACTCGTCTCGTAAAGTGTGTGCGTGGCTTGTGCCATGAACCGCATATGTCATGAGATGAGCTCAACTCCAGGGACGCCCAATTCAAGGGGCCGTCAGCAAAGTTGTTTTGGTCAGGTTGGGCATCAAGCGGCCGTCTTTCGCGGCCGCGAATGACACCCGCCCGATACGCATGCTCGATTTCATCACATGAGGCTGACGACATGTCCAGTTCGCAGCAGCCCGTTACTACCGGTTGGCCGAGAAGAACGGCAACAAAACACTAGGCAATTCATGGTAAGTCGAGCCAGTCTCCTTTTGCTTTGCGCCCATTTGGTTTGCTCGGTTTTCCCCAAGGGTCGGATCCGGAAGACGCATCGAGTCGTCCTGGGAGAGGGGGGCAGCCTGCAGCGCGTCGCGGATGACTTGCGCGCTGCGGCATTGATAGGCTGGCGGCCCTTCCTGCACCCCAAGATGCAGCAGCGGCAGCAATAGTAGCGGCAGCTCGCCCTGCTTTGGCAGCTTTGGCTGTCAGCAAGTCTCCCCGGGCATGCACGCAATTCTTACTTGTTGCATGCTCTGGCGTGCTGCGCTGAGCTGCACCGCCTCCGACAGGATTGCTCTGAGCCTTGATGCTGGGGTTACTGGGAGCGTTGCGGTCGCTGTGCCCCCATGCATCGCGATCTCTGTTCCTACCGGTTTTCTGTGTCTTTCGTTCCTGACGACATTGCATTTCTCTGACACCACTATGATCCAATACTCTGGTGACACTAATACTGACGGTCGCAACCCAACAGGATCTGGAAGGATAAGTACGATCCAGACGGCGGCAAGGGCAAGAAGTAGAGAGGGGCAATGCTCCGTATCAGCGAGGGTATGCGAACGTGTGAGACGGTCATCGGTGACACGGGCGTAGCATACTCGAAACGGCTGTACGGACGGCAGCGCGTGCATGCTTTCCCCCCTGTTTGTCCGCCGGCGATTCCCTTTCCTCCTGCCGCTGTGTCACCGAGACGCGAGATCGTTGCACGGAGCGGGTGTCCATTCGCCCGATCGTGTTCCCGTCGTGAACCGGAACGTCGCGATAGGGGAGAACAGATAGAAAGCTGGCAGGCCCCCCTTCCCTGTAACGAATGCCCCCCGTGATGGAACGGGAAGCACGAAAGAGAATCGTCCCAGGTGGCGCAAGCGTACTGCGGCAAATAGATTCTCCCATGCAGTCTATTCACAGTGCGGTGCGTTTCCGCTAGGTGTATGCTGTACGCCGTTGGACGACAGACATGCAGGTCTCGTGAGCATGGGGAACAGGCCAATGCTCTTGGGAGGGGCGTAGAGGCCTCGCGGGACGGAGCGAGGACCTGGGACTCAGCCGAGCTGAGCTGAAGTAGCCTACGGTCAGTTTTGGATAGATTGGCGGTGTCTACTTGGACAGTGGGAGGCATTTTTTTATCATTACTTCATTTTCTTAGTTGTATCATACCCCCTGGGCGAAGAAGAGCCTCATACCCAATATCAGTACTGCAGAATATTACAAAGGACAACTTTGTTTACACAGCGGGGGCTCCTCAACGGGGGTTGTCGGGCCCAGAACCGGCGGCCGATTCTCCATCCACCCTCAGGCGATCCCGTCGTCCTCGTCCGGGCCGAAGCAAAGTTCCTCCCGACGTCGTCCGAGGACCATCCCCTTCCCGTTCCCGGGAGGGGTGAGGTGCCACCAGCCCATCATCCGTCGTCCAAAGGGCGGATAGAGGATAGCACGACCTGGGAAAGATGTTTGGCCTACCTAGGTTTCTTATGTTGGACGCATGAACCTGCGTTGCGCTGTGCGCCGGCGCGCTGAGAGACATTTGTGGTTCCTTTTCTCACGCGGTTACCCGCCGCTTCAGGGGGACGCCAGTCAGGAGGGAGGAGTGAGGAGTCACTTGCTATTCGATCTCTGTACGAAGGGATCGCGAGGGGCTTCTTGATGCGGTTGCAGAGCCGGGGGAGGGGAACACATTACATTCCGGGTTTGGGACTTCATGATCCGCTAAATTTACTTCTAAGCTTGCCCTCGTGTGTTCGGCCAGGGGCCAGAAAGGGGGGAACTATCTTGTGGTTCTAGGAATCCCGTCTTCCGGTTGAGCAGTCGCGACTGTGACTGCCCCCCTGATGCGAAACCTGCGCGACGTCTCTTGAAGGGTTGGGGAGGAGCTTCCAGCCAGTGTGTGCCTGGTCCTTTGATACCAAGGAAAAAGCTTGCAACTCAGCTGGACAGTTCGTACATTAGCCTCGCGTCTTCGCTCTGGGGAAGGGGGAAGACACCGAACCCTCTCTCGCAAGCCCACAAGTTCGCAGCTTCGGGGCCTATGCGGGACATTCAGACTAAGAAGAAGATGCGCGCATCATGGAACGACAGGTGAGTGTTCATCTGGTGTTTTCTTCTCTTCTCTCCTGGCCGTTTGTATCATCGCGAGATCAGATTGCATGAGCTAAGGAGGATGACCCAATGAAGCAGTGCAACGTCAGCAAAACTTGCAAAGATGCCCTGGCTTGAAACTTCCTTGACGCTCTGCAGTAAGGTAGGTCCGCGTCGTGATGGTATCGGCGACGGAAAACGGATGAACCCATCCGAACCTGCACGCTTGGGTATATTTCCTGCTCACCTGCTCACCTACATGTGTCTGGGCCGCACCTTTCGCCACTCGTGAGTGATTGAAGGCCGCGCGCCGCTCCTTCACCTAAGGTCAGGCTAGATTGGGTTGGCTAGCTTGCAGTTCACCTTCTTCACCGTGGTAGTTAGGTCCCTTAGCCACATGGTCCTATCATCCTAGCTTCTTTAGCCGTCCAAGATGGGGGCTTCTTCTTACCTCATGGGCCTCAATTATGCACCGTTTCTTCGCACCGCGCGGCCGGAAGATGAATATCTCCCCGCGGGTGGACGGCGCAGAATTACGGAAAGGAGCATGACGATGGTTGAGTGCGATTCCGATTCCTCGCCGCAGACCTGGGCCTACACCGCGGCCGCTCACCGTCACCGCGCCGTTTGGCCCCCAGTTCCCCAGCTCCCGTGAGCGAGCACCCAAGCATGCGACCTCGAGAATGTCTCAGACGCACATCGAGTACGACCGCGCATCATCCATCATGCCCCCCCTCCGGTTACGTCTGCCTGCCGTCTTACGCCAAAAGCCTGGGCTGATACTACGTACCACCTTATCAATCTCAGCATCTTATCCGCCGCCACATCCTTCCCGTCTCACCACATTCTCTCCCATTTTCGCACGGCGCTCTATCTATCTGGGGGACTTTGGTGCGCCAGGCAGGAGGGGCAATGCAGGGCAAATGGAATAGGTAGCAAGTCTGTCGTGACCCAATGATCTGGGAGCGTTGCCTCATCTTCTGGCTTGATAGATGCCGGTATTCCAAAGGGTGCATCTAATCCGGGCCCTCCAGCTCCCCATCTGATCTCATCGGAACCCGAGCCGACGACTCACGCGAAAGAGACACACAAGTACATCATCGTGCTGAAGCTCGCAGCACCTTGCAAGCTTCGCCTTTTCCTTCCACGAAGGCCGCGAATGGCACCATGTCTTAGCACCGAGGAAAGAAATGCGGGATCTCGTTCATGAGGGGGGAGCTAAGAAGTCTTTACCAGCCTCCGCACTTTTTTACTCCCCTCCCGACCTAAGATGTAAGACTCAAAGCTACCCTTTAGCGGGCTGTGGCTTTTATTGTTCAACCGCGCGAGACAATAGGGTCGTGGAAATCTTTAGTGTGTTTCCAGAGGGAAGAGACAATCCCATTCATCCCTCTTCAGCCGCTACGCCCGTTTGCCGCTATTGTGATCCCCAAACACCACCAACCGCGATGCCATCCATCTGCATGCAACATCACCAGAAACGGCCCCCCAGAAAGAAAAAAAAGAATTTCCCGTGTTTCCCGCGCCGCACTACCACAGGCTCACCCGCTTGCCCCTTCCAGCCCCAGCTCTGCGCTGCGCTGCGCCCACCATCTCACGCGCCGCGCCGTCGACCACAGTGAAAAAGACCTTTGCCTCGCTCCTCCCATGCAATCAGGAAACCTCAAAAAACAACGCTAATGCGGCATCAAAGCCGCCGCTGCTGCTGCTGCCCCCCAACCAACCCATTGGTCTCCTCCAAACCAAGAACCAAGGAAAGACCGCCTACTCCCTACCCGGGTGCCATTCCCGAGACGGCGGACGTGATCTCCAACAGAAACCGCAGGTCACACACACACACACTTACACTTACACACACACCTTACACATTCCGCGTAGGTACCGTACGGTACCGTTCATCGCCCAAGACTAAGGCAGGAAGGAAGGAAGGAATAAACGGTGATGCGTTCCGTTTGACACTGCCCCCCCCCCCCCCCCCCCGAACTGTGGTGTTCGCCAATAGTGCGAGGGGAACTGACGACGACAATGGCGAAAACGGGGTTTTTGGTTGTCGCCCCCTCCTCTCGATAGCACTGCTTCGGGGGATAGGCGAGTGATCAACGGGCGCAGATCACGTCTTATCACAGCCCTCGATATACCCCCTCGAGACCTATGAGTGTTTGCGCTCAGCGCGGATCGGATCAACGATCAACATGGAAGGCAAGGTCATCTCGTACCATTTACGACTTTTTAAACTTTTTATAGCCAAGTTTTTCATCCAAGTGAAGAAAGTCATCTGCTCAGAAGTATTCACAAATCACGGTTGGCAATCAAGGCGGGAAAATTTAGTGGTAGTAGTAAAAAAGAAAACACAAATGAGTTTCCATGGTATCTTTCAAGTGCTTTGGTAAGAAAGCTTCGCAAGTAGCTACATGAATAGAAAAAATAAAGGCCCGAGCCAAAACCGAACCCTCCCAAGAAGCCGCCTAT